CTGTTATGTGTGGGCCTTTTTGGGGCTTCAGAAACTCTTTCCCTAATAATTAACACTTTTAAGAAGAAAACAAATCTCTACCAAAGATCAAGTAGTAAACATACATTCAAACGTATTCATCGCGTAGGTAGATTCGTCTTTTCATTCTAGCCTTTACTGGTACCAGATTCTGTTGGGATTGTGAAAGCCCATGTCAAACTCTATCTTTTCATATTAGTACGATATTGTCCACTTTGGGCCTTATAGACAAGCCCGCATGGATTTACTTTTGGTTTCCTTCCCAAAAGGCCTCGTACTATTAGAGTTGGACTTCCCTTTATATATTAGACACTCCTTGTCTAATTCTCCAATGTGGGACTTTGTTTATCATCTCACATTCTCCCCCTTAAACTAAGGACCACATTCATCTCGTGTACTTTGTCCTTCAGCGAATTATCTGGCTCCACTTTGTACCAGTAATCGCATGGCTTTCTTTGAGAATGTTTCTCCCACAACACCACAGGTTCCATGATCTTCTGACAGTTTCTGCCACGACCTCCTTCTCTTACTTGAAGGATCCCATTCATATCTTAAGGGTATTTTGGTCTTCTTGCATATCTTCGTCAAACCGCTCTGATACCAATTGTTGGGATTGTGAAAGCCCATGTCCAACTCTATCTTTTCATATTAGTACGATATTGTCCACTTTGGACCTTATAGACAAGCCCGCATGGATTTACTTTTGGTTTCCTTCCCAAAAGGCCTCGTACTATTAGAGTTGGACTTCCCTTTATATATTAGACACTCCTTGTCTAATTCTCCAATGTGGGACTTTGTTTATCATCTCACAGATTCTACCCTTCATCGTTTTCACCGAATCATGTTTGTTTGTTTCACCGAGTATTGCGTCTTTTATTGGCATTGTTCCTGTGTGGATCTATAGTGTTATTGCCTTTTGATCTTCTCTGATCCATGCACATCTCCTTTTTTTGGTCTGATCCATGCACGATCTCTTCTGGGTTTTGCTTCTTTTTAACTATTAAAGTTATATACGTTGCGTAGAGTCTCTCACTTTCAGCTTAGTTCAACACTTATGACTTATCTACTTGTGTTTTAAAAAAAAAGACTTGTCTACTTGTTTTTTTTTTTTTTGAAAGAAATATCTACTTGTTATACATCAACACACACATGCGTGTTCGGGTTTGTTTTGGTCTGGATCTACGTGGCTTTCGTCTCTGAATGGCCATGTGGGTTTTAAACATTTTCTTGCCTTACGAACCTGAATTGTGTATTTTAATTTGCTTTGCTTATGTTCTGAACTTTCCTTTCGTTTTCTAATTATTACTACACTCTATGTTATGGGTTTTAAACAATTAGTTTGTGTTTTTTTTTTTTTCAATTGTCAGTAATATATGGTAGCCTTTATCATCTTTTTCATAGCCAAAACAACTTTTGGTGTTATGTAACTATTGTGGTGTCTTCCTGAGGCAGTTTTTGTTTTTGTCTCTTGCAGTAACGTAACTGAAGGATGGCATATCGATTTGCGCGAAATGCTATAGTGAGTGAAGGCCAGTGCTGTGGAGAAGTGACAACAATATCTGATCTTCCAGATGATTTGGCAGAGGAGATATTGTCTAGGGTTCCGTTGACAACCTTAAGTGCAGTGCGTTCCACTTGCAGAAAATGGAATGATTTATCCAAAAACAGGGTTATTGGTAAGTCAGCATCAGCAGCAGGAAGGAAGCAGTTTCTAGGGTTCATGCTGAAAGATTATAAGGTTTGCTCGATGAAGTTTGATCTCCAAGGAATTGGAAACAAAGCAGACTTCGTTGATCCATCTGTAAAGCAAGTAAGTCTACTTGACCAAGTAGAGATATCTCAAGTCTTTCACTGTGAAGGTTTATTGCTATGCGTCACTAAGGACAGGTCGAGGCTATTGGTGTGGAATCCTTATTTGGGGCAAACAAGGTGGATCCAACCAAGAAACACTTTCCGAAGTGAAGATAGATATGCTGTTGGATATGACAAGAACCATAACTACAAAATCTTGAGGGTTTTTGGAAAGTATGACACCAAAGGTGAATTTGGAAGCATTGACAAACACCTGATTTTTGGATACGAGATATACGACTTGAGCTCTAGTTCGTGGAAAGTTTTCGATGTCAAGCTCGACAGGAATATAGATTGTTATCAGCGAGGCGTGTCTTTGAAGGGACACATTTATTATTTGGCTGAAGAGAGATGGACAATAGGCAGAGGAAATAATAAAATTAATGAGATAATCTATTTTGATTTTACAACCGAGAGATTTGTAAAGGGGCTGCCTCTTCCTAGTAAAATTCGAGGCAAATAAGTGTCTCTATCTTGTGTCAGAGAAGAGCAGCTTGCGGTGTTACATCAAAGCAGGGTTAGTGATAAGGTGATTAATTACGCATTAGAGATTTGGATCTCAAGTAAGATTGATGATCTAGGTGCAGTTTCGTGGAGCAAGTTCTTGAGAACCACCTCTTTCTGTCGTGTTAATTTTCAAGCTGGGAGTTTCTTCATTGACGAGGAGAAGAAAGTTGCTGTGGTTATGGATCTGGACGATGGTGGACAAGAACCGACTGAGACCTTGTACAACCAAAGAGCTAACATACTTGGACAAGATGAATACTTCAAACCTTTGAATGTTGGCGAGGTCCTGGATCATGGAAAATGCAACAAATTTGGATTTATGATCTCTGATTTATGTCGCCCACTTGTGTGCTCTTATGTTCCAAGCTCAGTTTAACTGCAAGTGCAACCGGGGAAATGAAAAAAAGGTGATGATTAATTAATCAGTTCCGTTTTCAACAATTGTTAAGATTGTCTGTCGTTTGTTATTTATAAACTGTTATAATATTAATATATGATATATATTTTCCAAAATCAACATGTATTAGTACGATATCGTACTTGTATTATTACATGTATTTCATTTACAAAAATATAGTAGAAGTGATATGATGTTAACAATATACGTAAACATGTCTGATCTTGCAAACAGAAGGGTTATCATAGGCTAGCCTCTTGGCTGAGAGTGGATATGGATCTGTTCATCGTCTGTCAGTGTTGTATTCATCTGCCAGGTCTTACTAGAATGATTATTTATCAGGGAGAGCTTTTCGTTCTTGTCCCCATCTCCACCTTAAGGTGGGGGAAAGCCAGATTAATGCGAGGCTAAAATTATGGCATCTTCCAGAATCTTTTGAGCCTTTATTTCTCCAACAAAGTACATTTCCTCTGAGGATCGTGTTATAAAGAGATAACAAAAGAAGGTTATGAAAGGAGCTACTGAGAGTTAGACAGGACTTAGCAACTGTTTGTCGGCTGGTGGTTTCAACCCAGTCCAATCGCTTGACGTGGGTGCTAAGATATCCACAGCTCTTTCCTATCGTTTTTATGCGAACAATTACTTCACCTTGTCTAATTTAGCTGTGTTGAAACCGTGAAGGTCCTGTTAGTGGGGTCTTGTTATCTGAGTTTTACCTTGTTTGCATGCATATTATTGCGTGATAGACCATGCAACCAAATTTTTTAGGTTTCTTACCCTTGCCAGTGATCTCTCTTTGAAATTTGGATTTTTGTGATCGCACCTGTTTCATCTATGATCACATGTTTATGTGGTCGATGTTTACATGTCTAGGGCCTTGATGCATACACTTTTTTTAGAAACCTAGCATGCTCTAATTTAGGCAGGTTTGGTATGATGGAGAATTGGGAACTGTTAGTAGCTGGCTGAACGCTATTATACAATTTTTTTTAAAAAGTAATTTTTTTTAATTAATATCATTTGTTTTCTTTTGACATCTAAAAACTTTAGAAACTATGATTTTTTTTTGAAAAATATTTAATTTTATTGCATTTTAATTTTATACAAGTTCATTTAATATATCTTAATCCAAAGAGATAAATGAAAATTTATCTAAGATTAGAATTTTAAATAATATTTTATTTTTTAATTTAATTTAAAATAAAACCAATCGTTTATTTTTTATTCGTTATATGTTTTATAAATTGAAACTTATATTAAAATATTGATATAAAAAAATATAAAATAATTTAAATTTAATTTTTTATTGTTGTACGTGGTACAAGAAAACATCTAGCCAAACTCTAATTACATCACAAATAGAGATATAAGCATAGAAAAAGATTTGGTAAGAACGCTGAATACCATCCACAAATAACTCAATAATCAGTACGCTGAGAGTCTTTGGTTCTTGTCTTGATCTCCACCTTGGTGGGGGCAAACCTAAAAAATCCTGGCATCTCTCAGAATCTTGTGAGCCTTTTATGAGTCCAACAAAGTACATTTCCTAGGATCGTGTTATACAGAGAAAAATGAAGGTTAAGAAATGAGCTAATGAGAGTTAGAGTACTTTAGAAACTTTTTGTAATCATGGATCGGCTGCTGGTATCCAACTCTTTCCTGTCGTTTATGTGAGAAATTATTTGGAGACTTGACAACTACTTTGTAGGTGGTTGTACTATATTCAAACTCGTTTGTTTTTGTGGTAACTGATAGTCAACCTGGTGAATAAACCTCACTCTTTAGAACATGCATTTCTAATTCATAGAGTCCCAACTCTTTGTTATGTGTACTCTGACCATACTTAGTTTGATATACTTATTGCAGTGACGCATGCGCCAAGTTTACTGCACTTTGCCAGAAAAGGACCAGAAAAGGACGAAGCTATATGTTTGTCATGGGAAACTGATGTCAAAATGATGATCCCAGTGAGGATCCATTTAGAAACCTACCAAGCAGAAGTTCTACCCAACAATAACATAGCGAACGTCCAACTGGTATGGAAGATCAAGGCGAAATAGGGAACCAAGTACTGTCTACAAGGCAAACTTCTGAATATATATATATATATTTTAAAAAAATTTCATTAAATGTATAGGTTTTGATCATAAACGCCTTTAGTTTTATGAACATTATATGAGCAAAATATCTAAAATTTATCTTATTAGTAACAAAACAATTATAATTGCTAATGCGTCTCTTCACAAACTTCTGCCATCTTGTTACTTGCATTCTGCGTTTTGATTTCCACCAGCTTATCATAAACGCACCATGGGAAGCTCCGGAGTGGATTGCTCTCAAGACAGCCCTTTGGCAAGTGATCTTCGTGATTTGTCACAATATACCAAGCCGAGGCTTTTGCCAATTCATCCCCTTCATCAGTAATGAACCAAGACAATGCCTCTTTTGTCAGCGAGCGAAATGCTTTTTCAATCACCCCCCTTCTCAGTGAATGGCTCTGACATCCTCATACCATGGCAAACAAACTCAGTTTCTGTTTCAATTTCAAAAGTGTCCGTCAAATGACGCAATTTTGAATCGTAGTTTTTCTTGTAATGGCTTTCTAGCTCAGTATGGTTCTCAAATCCACTGAACACAAGATCCTCATCAAGAGACAAAGAAGTGGAGGATGTGCTCGAGATAGATGGAGGACCTAGTTTCTTGAGTTCTTTGAAAAGCTTACCGATCACTGTCTTGGATTCATAGCGTTTACGCTGTCTTTCCCTAAAATCTGGATATTCTTTCACATACAAATGTGGTGGTATATTACCCTTTTTTTTGAGAAATCAACAGCTGCTGACAATGTCATCTTTGCCAGTTCAAGGCATTGTTTGCTCCCTGCCTTCTTCTCTTCTTTATCCGCAAACACCTTATGCAAATTTGCGATTATTCCTACATTATTATTCAGAAGGTAGGCATGACCTACCCAGAGGAGTAATTTAATTTTCAGACAAAAAAGCCAAGGTTTACGACAAGTTATATTATGTTCCTAGCAATATGGTGTCACATCTACAAGAAACTTTATTTCTCTGCTAGCCAAATTAAGGACACATCAATTTGGATGTTTGCACAAGATTAGTGCAGGAGATATTAGATCGTGGATGGATGATATTTGGAACATAAGATTGCCAAGTATGATACAAGAGTTATATCCGATATAAGAGCTCATATGTATATATCTCAGTGATGTTATTATGATTCAAAGTCATCTTTTAGGAAGAAAATTAAGAATAATTGTTCTTTAAAAATAAAAGAAGATAGCATTTTAATACAGTCAAAATCCTATGACATATGTTCTTTTCAATTAATGAAATTATGTTTTAAAATTTATTATTATTGACTATTGTATTTTTAAATATTTAATAGGTTTTGAAATTTAGCGTTACTAAAATCTAATTTAATGTTACTTAAACTAAAGAGGTGTTATTCAATGTGAGTTTAAAAAAAAAAATCAATCTGACCATTATTTGGTATAGTTCATATAGTGATTTTAAATTGTGTTTTAAACTTGAATGTTATCAGATCTTGTATTTGTAATTATGTATCATAGATTTCTAAATATAGTGTTATTCAATTAAGTTTTATAATAATTTATTAAAGCTGAGGTTATTCAAAATAAAATGATTATTAAAATCTTTGTATATGGTGTTATTTGAAATGAAATCTAATAGATTTTAAGGAGTAAATGATTAAAGCCAAAATCTAAGGTATATTATAGATAATTTTGGAATCCATGCACATATTTTCATTAAATCATTTTAATTTTTAATCTTGTAAATTATAAACATACTGTATATGGTAGAATTTTAATTAATTATTGAGTAATAACTAATAACCCCCACAATTACTTTGATAATAATCCTATACATTTTCATTTAAAAATGAATTCTCATGGATTTTATGAGTAAAATAAATCCAACTTCTACTAACACCTTAAAATATTCTAAAGCATTTCCCACCATAACTAGATTAAAAATTGTATTAACAAAATTGAGAAGATTACCATTGTATAATGGACCTACAGATATAATACAGAAAGTATGGGCGTAAAACTAAACTCTTCAAAGCATTTGGAGGCAAAAGTGGATAAAGTTAATAAAACAAAGGACTTAGAAACAAAACATATGAAAAAGCAAAAAAATAAAATAAATAAATATTAAAGAAAACCCTAAAAAACCATCATCTCTCTTCTTCACTTTCTTCCGCGCCGTTTCCTCTGTGGCTCTCTTCGCCATCTATCTTTCTTTTTCAACACTTTTCTTTAGCTACGGTAAGCCTCTATATGATATGTATTATCGTCTCTCCTTATCTTAGATCAAAGAACTTTGTTTCTGATAGCATTAAAAAATTAAATTTTCTGATTTCAGATTTGTAATGAATCCTTCATTGTTATTGCAATTATTGTTAATTCAAGTGGAAGCATATATATAACTGGTCGGTTTATTACTGTGATTGTCTTATTAGAAACAGGAACATTGTATCTATGATGTTTGGTTATGATATTTGTTTGTTTCCAACATTTATGGCTTATTTAAAATTGGTGAATTCAAAGTTGGTTTTAATATCTTTTGACAAGTCACATTCTCTAACTCAATTTATTTTTTGGGTAATTGATAAAGAGATTAAACTATAGAATCAATGAGGGGAAGAAGCTACACACCATCACCACCGAGAGGTTATGGGAGGAGGGGCAGGAGTCCTAGTCCCCGTGGCCGTTATGGTGGAGGTGGTCGTGACAGAGATCTACCAACAAGTCTTTTGGTTCGCAACCTTCGTCATGATTGCAGGTTTATTCTTTACTCATTTTTGCGTCTTTCCATTTAATTGGCTTATCCTCTACTCGCTGATACTGAGATTCTTTAACCATATCTTTGCAATACTTTCATGGCATTGTAATGATTCTTTGTGTCCTTATTTAGTGTAAAAGGGTATAAATAAAAAGATGTATATAGGTATGTTGTGTTCGGAGGATATTGGTTTTGTGGCAGACATATATAAGAAGCTTAGTAGAATGTAAAGCTTTTAGATAGCGGATGTATGAACTTTTGTTTTTTTTTTTCAGATTTCCTTGCAATAGGTTGAATCTGTTTTCTTCTTAACTATTAGTATTTATTAACTTTTGATTACCCTTCTCTCTTTTTCTCCAGGCAAGAGGACCTTAGGAGGCCGTTTGAGCAGTTTGGTCCTGTCAAGGACATCTACCTTCCAAGGGATTATTATACCGGGTGAGCATGCTCAGATGTTAGAGCGTTTAATCTTTAAACACCCAATATTTTACTAATGCTTTCACTAGATTATGTCTCTATTTTATGATTTTTGTTTGCTTCTTAGACAAACTTTTCTGAATTATTTTTTACTTTTAATTCTTTTATTGTCCATAGCCGTTCCTGTATCTTCACATTTCCAGATCATAACTTCTCTGATTTATAAGGATTTTCTAAACTGTCTTGATGAGTATATCTTATTATAGCAGTTTTTTTTCTCCACACTTGAATATTCAGCCTTAGTAATAGTTAAGTATAGTAACCCCTAAAACTTCATAGTCTTCTAGTCATTTTAGGTAAAGAATATAGTGATATGTTCCTTGTTCGATCACTCTTAAAGTGTATTTTATTGAAGTTGTTGAGGTTTAACAGTGTATCTAGAGAATTGAAGAGACAAATGAAGTAATTAGAGTTCTTTGGTAGTGAAGAGATTTGAAGGAAGTTGAGTTTGAGTTCAATTTCAAGATGTATCAAGTCTTGGGGAAAGTCATCTTTATACTGAAATTTTCAAGTTCAAGTTATGGAGGCAAGTGCTTGCTTTTTCCATGTTTAATCATGATGGCTTCTATTGCAGGAGATTGTAATGTTCAAAAAGGTTTCTTGTCATAGCAGTGCCATCTTCCTTGGTCACACAGTCTTTTTGGTTCATAGTCTCAGCTTGTTCTTCCTTGTTATTTGTTGCAGAGATCCAAGGGGGTTTGGTTTCATCCAATATGTGGATCCTGCTGATGCTGCTGAAGCAAAACATCACATGGAAGGCTATCTTCTTCTTGGTCGTGAGCTGACTGTTGTATTTGCAGAAGAGAACAGGAAGAAGCCAACTGAAATGAGAACAAGGGATCGAGGTGGAAGGTGAATTTGAGATTCTTCCTCCCTTTGAAACTTTTATAGTTTGTCACATGATCTCAAACTTGTAGACTTTGTAATATATTGTAGGAGCAACAGATTCAATGATAGAAGACGTTCTCCTCCTCGTTACTCTCGTTCTCCTCCCCCTAGACGTGGTGGTAGAACTCGATCACGTAGCCGTGAGTATAATTCTCCTCCTCCTAAAAGACATCAATCTAGGTATGCCTGTCTGAACTTCATGCTGTCGGAATGTCTTTACTGGATTAAAAAACATAATCTTATATCTTACCTCTGTTTTTTTAACAGGTCTGTCTCACCACAGGAGAGACGGCACGAGAAGGAGAGGTCATACTCTCGTTCACCACCACGTAATGGCTCAAGGGCTCGCAGTGGAAGTCATGGGAAGGTGAAGAGCTTCAGCAGGAGCAGGAGCCCAAGAAGAAGCGTGAGTCCCAAAAGAAACAGGAGCTACACTCCTGAACAGGCGAGGAGCCCTGTCGCTAGGCAGAGCAGGAGCCCAAGCCCTCGTGGAGAAAGAAATGGAGACCGTTCTCCAAGCCAGTGATTCTCTCTGCCCATCAGTTTCTGCAAATCTTGTTTGTTAGCTCTGCTTTATTTCTTTGTTTAGACAAGTTTTTACGACAGTTCGGTATTTGATGCTTTGCTTTATGTTGGATCCATGGATGATGTGTTAAGACATGACAATGAAGTTGCATGTACGTTTTGTCATCTTGTCTCTTTAGATAAAACTTTTTCTGTCTGAACTTAACCGATGGATTCATTCAAGAGATAAAAATGAGATCGCTTTTATTTGTAAACAAGAGAAAAAGATGATAAGTAGAAAGGCACAACCATGATTCTTATCTTTGGCAATGGGGATAACTTTCAAGAGAGAAAGAGTAGACATATGAGATAAATAAACTGATGAAGAGAGTTAGTTGACATAGTTGCTACCTAATAAGTTTTATAACCTTTATGATCTTATTTATCCAAATAATAAGAGATCAAAGCTTTCCGTTGAAACACACGAACGGTGACCAAAGCTACCAGTCAATTCTTGCATGTGTCATGTGTGTATGAGAGTCTCTACGACTATTAGTAACATAATCTAATCGTTTACCAACACTGTCTAGAAAGTAGAAACATATATACAAATACATTGTAAAGTACTTGAGAAAGCTCTAGTATTTATTATACATTACAACCCGTGCATATTTATGACTTCATCTATAAAACATATTTGTGATTGAAATGTTTAAAAATAGGATTAAGAAAAATACTTGGCATGGTTTGAGATTGTATTCAAATTTAGAATTACATGAAAATGGAGTATATTCTTTTTGTAAGCTTTTCCTGAATAGGGTTAGTAGCCTTTTAGTTACATTACAAACGGATGCAATTATTTGATGGAGATCAAACAAATAAAATAGATCGTACCATAATTAAGTTTTCACGTTGCAGTTAATAAAAAAAAACTAAACACGGATCTTATTTAACTTACACACAGGAATAATATATATACACACACTAAGACGATGATGGAATATATTAGACCAAATAAGACTGTTTGTAAGAACCTAATTATAAGAAAGCCTTAGAACAGCCACATTAAGGGTTCAACCATGGGGTTCACCCATTCCCCAAAAAAAAGAAAAATATAAAAATCATATATTTGTGAACCTGTGTCGTGAGGGTTCAGTAGAATGAACCTGGTTCATCACTATTCAGAAGAATCTTTTGGGTCTTCCAATATCAATAGGTTGATTGTTTTGCTCCTGTATCTTACAAAAGGAAAAAAGATCTCTGAGAGCTATTTGCGGGCCCCACGCCACGTGGCGACCCGCTATAGATCACTTTAATTTTTTTTTTCTTTAAATCAAACAAAAAAAAAAAAAAAATTCAGTTGTGAACCCCAACCATGGGGTTCATTAATGTGGCTGCTCTATAACTAAATTTTCGAGAAGTATATATATGCATATGAATATATATGTATATGCAAATGATTATGTTAACTACACATATAGGAGGTATTTTGGTTTGTAATCAACAGATCTTTACAAAACAAGTTAGCACACATATATATACCGATCCTTTGAAATCACACAAGTAAACTTCTCGAAATGGTTAGATATAAGACATCAATCTTGAATCTGTATCGGCTGGGATAATTGAATATTACTATCAGAAGGATCATCATTGATGAGCGAATTAAGAAACGAAGAGAACTTTTCATCGTAAGAGAAACCAAAGTCTTCATCACCAAAGACGCTTAAACTGATCTTGCTAGCTTCATTCCCGTTACTAACATTGGTATTATCAGTGTGAGAATAATTAGAATCAGGCTCTAGAAGATTTTGTCTACCGGAAACTTCTTCTCCCGGTGTATGGGTGTTGTTTGCATCAAGAGGCTTGTGGGTTTGAGGATCAATGCCTTCTCTTAAGAGTTTCTTACTAAGATAAGTGTACCAATGGTTCTTGATGTCATTATCAGTCCTTCCCGGTATCCTTCCCGCGATCAATGACCACCTTACAACACACATTAATATATTGAATTAGCATGATCATGTATGCGAGGTTAAAACAACCACGATTACTTACTATCCTATAAAAAAGCTTATGCATCGCTCGTCTTAGTTTACATTTTCTTAATCTATATATTTTGGAAAAAAAAACAACCCAATCAAATAGAACATTAGCCGCAGAACCAGAAAATTAGAACTATCTTCAATTAAATTAATAATTTTTGTTGAAAATTCAATCAAACACATACTCCCTCTGTTTCAATATAAGTGTCACTTTACATCTATGCACACAGATTAAGGAAACAATTAATTTTACATATTTCCTATATAAAAACACAATTACCCATACACCTAACCATATTTTAACCAATAGAAAAACAAATTACATAATAAAATTAATAAATTTTACATTGAAAACCGAAAACGACACTTATTTTGTAACACAAAAAATTCTCTACAATGACACTTAATATAAAACGGAGGGAGTATATATAATTATGAAAATTGACTACATCTATCACAAAAAAGAAGAAGATTAGATTAAAAAAAATGTAAACAGTATTGACCCCAAGTAAAATGTGATAAAATGAAAAAAATTGATAGCCCTAGTTTAGAAACTAGTTTATTCGTAGCATACTCCACGTATATATATATAAACATAAAAACTACGATTTTTTGTATAAACAGTTTGATTAATGTATGAAATAGTAAAAATTTTAATAATTTTTGAATTATTATATGTATATATACGTTATAAAGGTTATGTTTCGCACCGGTTGCCAAGGAGGCGATGAAGGCGGAGGATGAGATCCTCCTCGTCGGAAGTGATATCGTCACGTCTTACAGACGGCCGGAGATAATTCATCCACCGTTGACGGCAGCTTTTTCCACATCGGAGTAAGCCAGCTCTTTGTGGAAGCGTTACCCACCTTCCTTCGCCTTCTTTCTTGATGAAGTTCGCAAGAATCTTGTCCTCTTCATTCCTCCATGGTCTTCTCTTCATACCCATATTCATGCAACACGGTGACCTCTTCTTCCTTACCGATATTTTCCCGTCAAATGACGTCATCTTCGCCTTCTTCAACAGAGTTCTCTCTCTTTCCTCTAGGGTTTGGTGATCTCTCATGAGTTTCTCAAATGTTATTCTCTCTTTTTTCCTTAGTCTAGTGATGTAACCAATGGCCTAATTAACCGACCTTTTGCTATATAAATGTCTAGTTTTAGCGTTTGGTGATTACGCGTTTCTAGTCTCAATTCTACTATGTTTTTTCTTAAGATTTGTTAGGCTATGCAAGTTGTGGTTCAACCCAATGAATGATCAATAACCACATCAACATAAAATGACGTAACAGGTCATAATGAAATAGAGACAAAGATACAAACGAGTTTGCATGGGGGTTGAAACAACTGTAGACTAGAAATCGTATGATAATACACATACTTTTCGTAATCAGTATAGATGGATTTATGCATATTAACCATTAAAATTATGAAAACTGAAATAAATGTTTCATTTTGATATGCCAAAGACCGACAACAAGGGTAAGATGGCTTCTTAATTATTCGTATTAAAGATCACATTTCTATGAAATTATAGTTTTAGTGGTCTATGCATATAACAACCGCTTATCCCAACTCTTCCGAATGGAAAAAGTTTAATAAAGTTGTTCAACATTATTGTTGATATATGACATTAATGAATACTAACCACCGTCATTATAAATAAATTTATTAACAATGACATAAACTAATGAACTAACGAACTAAGCATTTATTATTTACACCGACTTTTAAACCAATAAAATTTCAGTAATTGGACAAAACGCCAGATTTTTTTTTTCAGACGAGGAAACCGTAGGGTAATTTCGTAAACAAAGAAAAAAGTATGGACCCCATACAAAATAACAATGACATTAAAAAAAAAATAATTAACCAAACGGTTCAAAATTGTTGATATTACATAAATAAATTAACCACCTTGGTTATTGTTAAAATAAATTAATAACAATGACATAAGCTAATGAAATAAACATTTAATATTTACACCGACTTTTAAAACCATTAAAATCTCAGTAATTGGACAAAATGCAGATATTTTTTTTTACAAATGAGGAAACAGAAGGGTAATTATGTAAAGAAAGAAAAAAAAGTATGGACCCTGTAAAATAAGATAGGAACAAGAGTCACTTTCCAACTACAAAACCTGATTTGTATTCTTTCCTTTTTATTTTATTTTGTTGTTTTATTAAACTTACCAATAGTATTATTTTCTTTTCACCACTATATTATAGTTGGCTGGCTAGCAACATCAGAATATCTCTCTCTGTCTATCTGCAACGAGAAGAGATGACGTCAACTCAGTTCCACAACAAATACGTAAGCCTTCGCTTTTCAGCTTCCTCTATGGTTCTGTTATAACTCCTAAAAGTTGAACTATAATTTTTATGGAACGTAGATGCTTGGAGATGAAATTGGTAAAGGAGCTCATGCTCGTGTGTACAAAGGATTAGACTTGAAGAATGGAGACTTTGTGGCCATTAAACAAGTCTCATTAGAGAATGTTGTTAAAGACGATGATCTCAACACTATTATGGTTTGTGACTTTTTATCTATAGTGCGACCACATGTGGTCTCGTATTTTCTCTTTACCAACTTCTATACTGATTTGAATCTTGGTGACGTAACATGTGAAACGCAGCAAGAAATTGATCTCTTGAAGGTATACCATCTTTAGCTTTAACACTAACTCTGTTTCTCTGGTTTTACAAAGTTGACGTCATAATGTTAAGTATCTGTGAAATGTAAAATCACACCAACCACGTTCTGAGATATGGGTTTTTTGAATTAATGGTTATGTTGGTTTTTCATTGCAGAACTTGAACCATAAAAACATTGTCAAGTATCTTGGGTCATGGAAGACAAAGACTGACCTTCACATCATTCTTGAGTAAGTGTTTTTTTGTTTGTTTGTGGCTTTGTTTTGTTGGTCCACGCTGGAGATCAAGTTCAAATCATCATATCTTTGCAGGTACGTTGAGAATGGCTCTCTTGCAAACAATGTTAACCCAAAAAAATTTGGACCCTTCCCAGAATCTTTGGTGGCTGTTTACATTGCTCAGGTTCAGTGTTTTATATTCTACTTGAGTTATGTTTCTTTATGACATTGTGGTTGTACTCACTAGAGAATACAGGTCTTGGAAGGTTTAGTGTATCTGCATGAGCAGGGTGTCATACACCGTGATATCAAGGGTGCAAATATTTTGACCACAAAGGAGGTATGCTCCCATTTTTATTTTTATTATTATTATGATGATGGTTTTAAGATACTTAATTGTTTGAATACTTTCAGGGTCTTGTTAAGCTTGCTGACTTTGGAGTTGCTACTAAACTAAACGAGGCTGAAGTTACCACTCACTCATCAGTGGTTGGAAGTCCTTATTGGATGGCTCCTGAGGTACATCTTTGCTAACATTTTTTTCTTGACTGTGTGTGTGTGCGTGTCAATGGATACTCAACTTCTGTTTCAGGTTATTGAAATGTCTGGAGCTTGTGCTGCTTCTGACATTTGGAGTGTTGGATGCACTGTTATTGAACTTCTTACATGTGTACCTCCTTACTTTAATTTGCAACCCAATGCAGCTCTTTACCGTATTGTTCAGGTTTTTGAGTATGTTTTAGGTCTCTTCCTGTCTCTTTTTTTATCTTATGCTAATGCAATGTCTATGGTCTTTCTCTGGTATTCAGGATAACAACCCTCCTATTCCTGATGGTCTTTCTCCAGATATTACAGACTTCCTACAACAATGCTTCAAGAAGGTATATTTGTATGTAATCATGTTTAGTCATTTCAGCTATGTATGCACTGGATCCTATGTACATCTGATTTGTATTGTGCACATTACAGGATTATAGGCAGAGGCCTGATGCAAAGACATTGCTCGCTCACTCTTGGATACAGAACTCTAGACGGGCATTGCAGTCCTCACTTCAGAATAGTGGAACTATTAAGTGAGAACATGTGTTATCTTAACTTTACTATCTATCTCATGTTAGGGAACACACTAGTGTTCATATTTAATGTTGTCATTGGGTACTATGTCCTTTGCAGGTATATGAAAGAAGATGATGTAAGTTCAGAAAAGGATGATGAAAAAGATGAAGTATCTAGAAATCTTGAAACCGGAGTTTCTGAAGCTAGAAAGAATGAAGATCACAGTCCTAGAAAGGTCAGTTAGTTATGTTGTGTCATTCTCATCCTATACTATGTTTTGAGCTGATTGATAAGTTTATTTCTCTTAACTAATTAATAACTTGCACATAGTTACATTTGAGAGATATATTGTTTGTTTAGTGTTTTTCATTACAATATTATGGTCTTATTACAGTAGTTTCCTTTATTTTATTGAATAATGTGTTCAGACTAAAAAGTTTTATTTGTATAAAAATATTTTTCCTTTTTTTTGAGACATAGGTTGTCTTTTATAGAGTTGAAGACTTGAAAACTGACTACATTTGTTTTTTCTTGTTGTTTCTATCTTAAAGGCTGTGAAAACTCCATCTATAGTTGGTGAGAATGAAGTGGGTAGATTTAGTGATCCTCCTGGAGATGCTTCCTTGCTTCCCAAGAGAAAACGACATGAAGCCTCAACATCAAGTGCTATCCAGGTTGATTCTCCTGTCGCAGCTGGTGGTGATCCTTTCCTCTTAATGATGGGTGTCTTTAAAGATCCTGCCACTGACAGTGATGGCTTTGTATGTTCTATCTTGAGAATAAAGGTTTGGGTGCTACAAGTAAATATACTGTTGACACATTTTCTATCTTGTTTTGCAGGTATTTGATGAAAATGTATCCCTAGAAAGTCTTGACTCTATGCAGGTAGATCATCCTCTAAGGTCAGATGTTTTCATGTTTTCAAACCTTAGTATATATATTGGTTGAGTTCTTTCTTTGGTGTGTAGGCGGTGGAGTTCAGCAGATTGGTTAGCTCCTTAAAGCCAGATGAATCAAAAGATGCAATAGTATATTCATGTGAGAAACTTCTTGTTATGTTTCGTCTGAGACCTAAACAGAAATCAGTGTTTATGACACAACATGGTTTCCTCCCTCTTATGGATCTACTCGATGTTCCTAAATCTCCAGTATGTTTATTTGTTCTCCTCCATCATCGGTTTACGTTCATCTTCAGTGTATGAGGTGAATATTATCTGGCTTATGTTTTACAAAATATTTTCTTATTTTTTCAGGTAACATGTTCTGTGCTGCAGCTAATAAATGAAATTGTTAAAGATAACACTGAGTTCCAAGAAAATGCTTGTCTTGTTGGTCTTGTAAGTTCTCAAATTGTGTAGTCTATTCTTTTACTTTGTTGTGGCTTAAAAGATCCCAGAAAGTTGATTATTCCAAGTGATATGGCAGATTCCTTTGGTAATGAGTTTTACTGATCCTGATCCTGAGAGAGATCATTCTCAAGAAATACGTATGGAAGCAGCTTACTTCTTGCTACAGCTTTGTCAATCAAGGTTATTAACAGTCACCAACTATTTTTTTACTCTGAAACCTCTATAAATTAATAATGGTGAGACTACACCAAAACAATAATTTTTTATTAATTTATAGAGATTATTAATTTATCGATATATTAATTGAACAAAAAACTCAATTTGAGACTATAAAATTATATTATTTTATAGAAATTTTCTAGTGTATATTAATTTATAGAGTATTAATTTAAAGAGGTTATACTGTACTTGCTTTTGTAAGTCATCGAGTTGATTTGGTACCCTCTTTACAGCTCAACGTTGCAAATGTTCATAGCTTGTGGTGGAATACCAATTTTGGTGGGATTTATTGAAGAAGATTATGCCAAACACAGGTGGATGTTGTCTACCTTCTTCTTCTGATGTTTTAAAACCTTTCAAGTTTCAACATATGAGGTGGCTCTATTATGTTCTATTAATGTGTAATGATTTGAGATTTTATTTTCCAGGGAGATGGTTCACTTAGCTATTGATGGGATGTGTCAAGTATTTAAACTCAAAACGTCCACCCCTAGAAATGACTTCTGCCGTATAGCTGCAAAGAGTGGAGTTCTTCCTAGGCTAGTCAACACTCTTGTTAGCTTGAATGTAGCAGTTCTGCTAGCTTCTATATCAGGGGATCAACTTGAGCAGCCTGAGTCTTCACTCAGTGTGATTGATCAACTTGAGGTGCTGAAAACAAGTCATGGTGGTGGTGATCAAGAGCCTTCTCATGCTTCAACTTCATATCCTCAAAGATCAGATATCCATCAACCAAATGGTGATAGGCCTAGATTGAGTAGTGTTGCAGCATGTGCTACAGAAGAAGCTGCACCTGGAAGTACAAGATCATCTCGTTTACTTGCCCATATAATCTTTGGAGATGTTGCAAGTGAATACTTGGAGAAAGTGGTTGATCTACTTCTTGTATTTGCTCAAGCTGATACAACAGTCAAGTCACACATGTGCAGCCAAAGCTTACTCAGTCTTTTTTTCCTGATGTTCAACCGTGTAGAACCTCCTATTCTGTTAAAGGTACTTGTGAAGCTCCTTGAAATAATCTTCAGGTCACATACTTACACTGCCTTTTACAGATACTGGAGTGCATCAATCATCTATCAACTGATCCAAATTGCTTAGAGAGTCTTCAACGTGCAGATGCAATCAAATTGTTGATTCCCAACCTTGACTTTAACGAAGGGGATCTTACTTATCAGATCCATCACGAGGTTACCTACTAGATATATATGCATATAGTTAACTAAAAGACTTACTAAAAGTTTTAAATCTGATGTAGGTGCTTAGTGCATTATTCAACCTGTGCAAGATCAACAAGAGGAGGCAAGAACAAGCAGCTGAACACGGAATCATACCATACCTGATGCATTTCATCATGTCAGACTCTTCTCTCAAACAATATGCACTGCCACTCCTATGTGACATGGCTCATGCATCTCGGAACTCAAGAGAGGTGTTAAGAGCTCACGGTGGTCTAGACGTGTACATGAGTTTACTTGATGATGAATCCTGGTCTGTAACAGCGTTGGATTCGCTTGCTGTTTGCGTGGCGCATGATAATGACAGCAACCATAAGGTTGAGCAAGAGTTGCTCAAGAAGGAGATAGTTCAGAAGTTAGTTAAGTTCTTTCAGAGCTGTCCTGAGAGACACTTTGTGCACATATTGCAGCCGTTCTTGAAGATTATAACGTAAGTTAGTTAGGAGTAAATTGTGATTTTGTTGCATTTTCTTTAATTCTAATTCTTGTGGTTCTTGAATACAGGAAATCATCTAAGATCAACAAAACATTAGCTGTGAATGGATTGACTTCGTTGCTTGTTTCAAGGCTAGACCACCAAGATGCGATTGTTAGACTTAATCTCCTGAAACTCATTAGGGTTAGTGAATCCTCTAAATGTTATTCAAGTTCTTGCTTGTCTGTTTTTTTGTTTGTTTGTTAGGGTGCCGAGTGTGTTTGTTTTTGACTCTCAGGCTGTGTATGAGCATCATCCAAACCCAAAACAACTGATAGTAGAGAATAATCTGCCTCAAAAGCTGCAGAATCTAATAGAAGAAAGACGTGATGGACAAAGTTCAGGAGGGCAAGTTCTGGTGAAGCAAATGGCTACCTCTCTGCTTAAAGGACTATACATCAACACAGTCTTGTGAGTTATTGTACATACACTCACATTTTTAGCAATATGATCTGACAAGAATGGTGGCGATTGATTGAAAACTCCAAACTGTTAACTTGTGTTGCACTCTTGTCTTTTTGTAGTTCATAAAGATAGATGCCATTATTTCTTTGGTAATATATTGAAGTATTTAACTTAGAATGTTTAAAATCTTTTGTTTTGTGGTATATCTAAAATTGAATGGAGAAGTTATTTTATAAACTAATAGCTCAATGTCCAGTAGGTTTGTTGTTTATTTCATTATGTTAGAATATTTTTGTTATAAGATTCTGTGAAGTGAACTACTGTATAAGCCAAATTCTTGAAAGAGCTGATATAAATTCTTGGAGTAGATTATTGGCTGTTGACTGTTGTTTTCAGAATGATACAATGCAGCTAATGCACAGTCTCTTATTGCTTATAATTACAATTTAGTTTAGTTTCGTTAGGTTTAAAAACTCTTGAAAGAACGAGAGAATCACTCGGTCATATTTAGCTCCAAAAATATAATTAAGACTGGCAAACATAAATGTGATCATATAACATTGGAGTGTATTCTATAGTTAACACATAACTGAGATTTGCTCAAGCAGATAGGATCTTTACGCACAAATAAAATTCTCGAAACCACAACTTTTAGAATGAAGTTCATTAAAAAAGCTTCGAAGAAGAACTTAGTGCAATTCTAGTATTAACAATCAGGAATAAATTTCAATTATAAAAAAAGAAATGTTGAGTGTTCAAAATCAAGAACAATAACTTAGACTTTAACTGAACATAGTGAAAAAAAAATATAGGAAAGGTTCTCAGGATTTGAATGAATCATTGGGAAGTATTTCACCTCAATAAAATTTTCAGATTAACGAGATTTCATAAACCCATCATCACTGCACCATCTTTGCCAAACCAAAATAACATTAAAAAAAAAGACTGAAACTATTGAAGAAGAAAAAAAACAGCTCTCGGTAAGGGTTTTAGGTAGACCGTATTTATAGGTATCCAAGCCGTGTACTAGATATAATGGGCCTTAAAGCCCATTTTAGCGTATTAAACTTCGTACGTGAACGTAAGATTCGGAGGCTATTGCGCTGGTCCAAATTATATTCATCCTCCAAATTTCTATATGTGGAATGGAAGATGATATATTCATCCTCTTTCCATCAACACTATGTGTCATCATCCACTCTTCTTTTCATTCGCAGGCCGTAAAGATGAATTATACAAAAAAAATTATGAAAATGGAGAACATTCTGGAAAGAAGTGGGAAACAAAAGAAAATGTTATTAATCAAAACCATAAAGTGGAGGCCACTTACAAAACCTCTTTTACAGGGTATTAGTCGAGGACACAAGCATATGAACTGAGAAGAAAAAAAAAACTAAAGGTATATCATCAGGTCCCATTGCTTCGGTGCATCTCACATGGCTTAACATGTTATTGTCTGATACCATCATCCCATACTCCGAATATATTCCTTTTGTTTATTCTATTACTTAGATGGCATGATAAGTTGGTCTGGACGTAGCCAGTGTAAAGTGAATCTGATATGAAAAGTTTAGTAAAAAAAATAGAAGTTAATCTGATATGTCTTTGACACTAAATTTAGGCTACGTCTCAACTCCTAGCAAGTTGACTAGTGTCTTTTATAAGGTACGATTTACATTTACTTGCACTTTTGAGTTTAAATGCAATTTTGATACACTTAAGTTTGCAAGAGAGGCCTCTCCTTTTGCCACCGTTTGGAGTTTATTGTGCCCACAGTTTTTTCTGTCTTGTTATATTCTATTATGACAACTTATTCCACTTGAAATATATTGGCTAAACTCCGAGGCTATAACGTGATATGTCGATAAGAAACAATAATAATATTGACGAAACATACTCAACGATATCAAGACCCTCCATATTTATACAGCTCATGAAGTCATGATTCGCAACACTGATCATACTACTCGAAGATGTGTGGTCGGTTACTATTATCATTTGTGCGGATTTGATGAATCCCACAAACATATATTAAGTGAAACCTCTACAAATTAATAACGTATGACTACATCAAAATTATAATTTTTTTATTAATTTATAAAGATTATTAGTTTATCGATATATTAACTGAACCAAAAACTTAATTTAATACTATAAAATTATATTATTTTAGAGATTTTTAGATTATATTAATTTACAGAGTATTTATTTAAAGAAATTATACTGTAGTAGTATAAATTATGAAACATATATACACAAACACTCTCATGCAATTTAATTAATACCCAAAATTTAAATTAAAAATGTATAATATATAGTAGTCCAAATATTACAAACAATAACAAAAAGCGCATGCGATAATAAAATAAACAGAGGTAAAGGCAAAAGAAGTAACAAACAATAACTCTATATGGTATGTAGAGATTGGTTTAGAAGAGAAACCCAGATGCCAAAGCAGCAACAGATGCAAACAAAGCTGGGACAAACATAGCAGCAGCATCAGAAGTAGGACTTGGAGCTGGAGACTCTGCCGTCTGAGCCGCCACATTTCCTACGGCTGAGAAAGCCACAATAGCCACCATCAACACCACCATAAGCTTCATCTTCATTGACTCCATCTCTCCTCTTTTCACTTGGAAGAAATTTAGTCAATAGATTATTTGTGTGGTTTTGTTTTTTTTGGTGCGGTGATGAGTTTGTGGTGGCCTAATGGTTTTAGAAAGGTATTTATAGGCCAATGTTGGGAATGTTGGTTTCTAGAGACAGCTCTATATAATAGTTTATTACATTTATTACCTAATATTTTTAGTTAAGGACGCACTTAGCAAGTTAGCATATAATATTAGTGTAATTTTGTAAATGTGAATATAGATTGATGTGTTATTCGTGAATAAGAAAGAAACAAAACATGTTGTCCAAAGAGTTTTGAACAGCTGGCGGAGATTGGCTGTCTCTTGGCCCAAACTATATTGTTGTTTTTCTCAACCACTCTGTTCTTTCTTTACAACACCACTCATTCATTACTAAAGTTTCATATTCTAATTCACACAGTATTACATTAGTATTATTTATATTACTTTGAAGCATCTTGTTCTAATTCATACGGTAGATTGGACCAAAATATTGCTTTGAACATACGTAAACTGTATTGAACCTTCATGGGATATTTTATTTATAGGATTTAGATTCTAGAAGAATTCTTTGGCATTCATCTTGATTCAAACTAGATTCAACATGGTTATGTACAGATGGTAACTCTACGCTCGAAAATATATAATAATAGGCTTAATCCATTTTTAATTATGACTTCTATAACCTTCATATTCATTGTATCGAGCTTTAGATTATTATACATGACGTCTATAATATATGTATGATCGCCCCGTTTAGAATTGGCTTATTCTGAAAAAAAATTAAGTTTAATCAAGATTGCGTATCCTTATAATTGTGATTCATTAGTCTTGAATCTAAAGATAACGTGTGAACACTCAAAACCTAAATTGAGATGAAATTCGAGAATTCAAGATTTGGAACTTAACTTAATTAGTGATAATCTTCTTTTAGTTCTTTGTCAATTTTGTAATGTCAAATAGAACGTAACTGTAAAAGTGTTTGCGTAACTAAATGACCAATTAGCTGTTTTAGCCTTTAGAGTTTCGTTGAAACAAATGATAATGCTTTTCTTTCTCCAACGTTCATAGTTTCACATCAAACCAAACTATGAAAATGACCAACCACCCCCGTTCAAAAACAAAAATTAGAAGTTTAATAAGATCCTAAGATCTTTCTTTTCATACTTGTTTAATGTCTTCTAATGTCGGCCATTATTTTGTTTAAAATCATTATTAAAACAGTACTATACTATTTGTTTTCGTTATACAAAAAAGAAAACTAGCCGTAAAGCTTGAATAGCAAACATGCATCATTATAAGCATGAGGTTTCACTACAATGTGGCCCCAACCAATGAAACTAATTGCTGTTTCTGCCTTAGTTCCAAACCATCATGAGTTGTTCTTTTTTTCTTTTTCTTGTGAACACAATTTATACTATATAAACACACATGAAATCTATATAGACATATACTTTCACCATTTTCATGAATGTTGATTTTCTAGAATTTATTTTTATGACGAACGATATTTTATATTTATGTATACGTGTGTATTAGTCTTGGGGAAGCAACCAATCCAAACTAAATAAATAAAAAACTAATCAACATATAGAGTTCTAAAATAAATAAAAAAGGTTAGAAAGTTGATTATTAGATGTTTTTTAAGATTGTGGAAATCCTACAAAATAATTAACCCTCTATATTTTTTTTTAGTTAGAAACAAGACTAAACCTCCAAATGCTTTTAAAATATAATTCCACAAGAAAATTACATGATTTGAAATCGTTTTCATCTTTTCAAGTTTCACATATAAAACTTTTGGCGACCAGGACTGCTAGATGAGTATTATGTTTTATAATTCACTTTTACTTTACTTTGGAGATGTAACGTTGGTGGATTTGAATTGGATTTGCTTTTTTCGGCTGTCTTTTACTTTGGAAATTGAACGTTGAGGAAGTTTGAATCCAATTCAATTACTAATGAAGGAAAACGAAATCTATCTGTAACAAAAAAAAGACTTGTGTGAAGCCAATCCCAGTATGTAACAACGCCAATATATGATAATTTTGGTAGCTACATCCAAGCAGTCCAACCATTGCAGCCTAGTAAAGCCATGGCCATATATATTAACCAAGAGAATCGACAATAAGCTGACATATTCATAAACCACTTGAATAGGAAGTTGTATTAATTGGTCACAGTCTAACTCAGCAGATTTTAGCACATAAGAGACAGATCTTCTTATTCATATATTGTTGTATATAAACAACAACTGATTCAGCAAATCGCTTAGACATGCTTGGAGAATGATGTTTACTCTTAATTAATCTGATTTTTCTTGGTGTCTTCCGTGCTTAGTTTTTATTTTTCTTTTCTTTTTGATGATATAAGATGCAACGATTCAACAAAAGTATTAATCAGAATCTCAAAACAACAAAGTAATTTTAATACGTAACCCTAACCATTATAAAGTTTCAGAAAAAAACCATTAAATATACATAATCAGTAAATGTATGTGAGCAATGTTATAGTCATCGAAATCCAAGGTAGATGATCATCATCAGTGCCGGCCCAGACATAACTGGCGCCTAAAGCGCACCAAATTTTTATGCCCCTTACCTATAGTTTTTTTTTTGTTTCTTTTTATATCTTTTTTTTGACTAAACAGTTTTTTTTTTCTTTTTATATATTTATGTTATAAAAATATAAGTTATTAATCTCATTATAAAATAAGATCAACACACTATTCTTAAAATTTAACCTTTTTCTCTAGAATTCATTAATCATTTAAAAAAGATATATATATATAGATATATATATATATATATATATATATTTATTTATAACCCATCTAAATCACGCTAACATTAATTTTAATTTGCAAAATACTATTGAAATCTTCAGAAAGTTACATAAAAATTAACTTAGCTTATATTCATTTTGTGTTTGTTTATATTTTATAATTTTAAAACTCACTATAAAAATTACAAAAAACAAAAGCAGAGAAGAAGGATGAGAAAACTTACAACAAAAATGAAAAAAAAATGCAACAATCAATAAACAATGAAGGACATAATTTTTCTTTTTTTAAAAAAGAGTAAGAAGAATGAAACTCAAATTGTTGGAAAGAAGAAATGATAATTAGGTTTTATTCTACGCTTAATTTAAAAGACAATATAATACTCCCTATAATAAAAGAAATTAAAACTGTTAGAAAGGGATATTCTATTGTGCCTTTATGATTGAATACTTGTATGGAAGCTGATAAGCTATCTGTGTAAGACTTGAAGTTTGGTTAATTAACAAGTTGATTTAAAAAAAAAAAAAAACTGTTAGAAAGGGAAGAAACTGACCTGTTTCAAAACGCGGTAGTGTGTTGGCTAAGATTTCATTTATTATCAATTATCAAAAGAAGGAAATAAAATAAAAGAATCTGAATGTGGAATTGAACCTATCATCTAGAGTATGAGGGATGAAGTCTGAAGACACTGCACTACGAAAGGCCTAACAATATTTGGCGCCCTTATAAAGTCTATATTATTTGGCGCCTCAAGCTGTTGCCTTATGGGCTTTAGCCCAGGGCCGGCCCTGATCATCATCAGCATAACTACTATTGATCAAAAGCAATAATAACTTTCTTCATCACTATCATCATCATCATCTTCTTCCTCATCCTCATCATCATCAGAGGAATCATCGTCAGCAGAAGGAGAAAAAGTGTCACATATGGATAAACACATAAGTTCCCACAGATAGGGAACGAGATGACCATAAGGGAAGCAACAAGCGACCTCAAGAAGCTCTTGAGTATTCAACCTCTCCGACAACTGAACCCTCCTCATCTGCTGCCACGTGGTGGTGGAGATGTCAGCCACCGCCACTAACGCCGCGCTGCTGAACACCATAGCCAACAAATTTTTTTTTTTTTCTTCTTCGAGTTGTGAACGAACTCTAGCTGGTAGGAGTAGGAGTTTTTACCTTTGACTTGTCGTGATTGAGATTTTTTTTTATTTTAATATTGAAGTTTTGTGAAATCGGTTACTTTTTATATTGGGAATTTGCACTAGATGACTATGAAAGAAAGTATAATTAGCTATATGGATAAGTTACTGTGCAAATTCTATAAACCCAAGCGTACCCCTACATATCTACCTCTATCTATCTTTGACAATTGATATTACTGTCTCTCTCTTCATATGTATCTAACTATACGCCTACATCTATTTTTTCCTCTTTGTTTTTTTTTTTGAAACTCTTCTTCCTCTTTGTTTTCATCATATAGTCTCTTCTAATCTCAAACAATTTTTGCTCCTTCTCTAATCTTGATATTCTCTGAAATGCACATCTCAGCTGCTTCTTTATATCTTCTGTTGTTATATTAAATGTTTTGATTTTGTACATAGTAATCCTAATTATTATTTTTTTGGTGCAAAACTCCTCCTAATTATTTTATATAAGGCTAGCCATTAATCATGACTTTAAGATTGGCCATTATATTGTCAATGTTAATTCAATTCTCAGTCATCCGTGCATTTTAATTGATGACCATATGTGGTCTTTATTGGTTTTACATGACCCTATTGCTCGATCCAAGTGATTTTTCAAAAACAAATATCTATTAATATCTTATTATATAATTTGAGAGTTTGTATGTATATAGTCAGTCAGCGAACATAAATCCGGCTATGATTTTAATATATCTTGTAACATATCCGGTTTAAAACAACATAACCGGTTACACACATATTAATGTATTGCTAATTGCTATTGTTGGATCACCCTAATTTGGAGTCTTATATTTCTGCATAATGATTTCCGTTAAATATATTCTACTGAGCTTGTTTTTCATTATAAATCATTCATTCTTGTTCTTTGTATTTAAAGATCAAACTGTTATTTTATTTTAGGAACATAATCATTTTTTTTATAAAAATTATAATAATTTAGGATGAACTATAACTTAAGATGACATTTTTTCATCGTAAATTTTAATTCAATACTCAACCATTCATGCGTGTTAGTTCAGTACCATTTAATCGTCTTGTTCTTACATGACCGTGTTGTTCGTTAGAAGTAGTACTGTCTCAAAAATAATTAATTAATAAGGTAGGAGCTTCTATGTATTCAAGTGAGAAGACTAGTTTCAAACAAATGAGTACCTTTTATGAATCATTATATAGGCTACGATTTTAATGTCTTTTCTTATATATTTGGTTTTAAAATTCCATAACCGAGTACACAACATTCCAGCCGGATATTGAAACAAATATAAAGATATTTAACATATGTATATCTCAAATACTACAAATTCAAAAATATAAATATTACTTGCCACTCTCGTAAATACATATTACCATGCTATTGTATTCTGACAATATACTGACAGTTACTATTTGCTGATAGGTTTGACACACGATGAAAAGGATGTTAATGTCATTACACCACCATTATCTTACCAGATCTGCAAATATAGAAAAGTTATGACCATCTACCTAATTACCGACCATTTTTTGTATATACACCTAAATAGGCCTTTTATATTTCTTAAAGAGTTGATATTTTTTACACAAACGGAAAAGGAATTGCTAAAAAATACAATACTGTATTTAAATATACTTATTTGTATTATCCCGAATCTTTTATCAACAATAGAAACTTGCACTGGGCCTAATAGAAAGATGAGCCGGGCCTGACTGGATCATAAAAGATTAACGATTGATTTAAACTTTGGTAGATGACTTGGTTGGAAGAGCAAGGCAGCATAACGCAAAGCGAGCCGCGGTGATGATGATGATTCATATGAGGTGACCCTTGATGATCGCTCGTCGAGTTTATCACACGGTGGATGGTGAAGCAACATTTGTCACAAGTGTGAAACCATTATGTTGGCCCTAGCTTCCTCTCATAAACTTCACACCAGTAAATGTAATTTGTAGTTCCTGTATAGCAAAGTAATAGATGATGCATATCAAGAATAAGAAGCTTCACCCTCTCTTCTCTCTTAATTTTTAGCTAGTTTTTTAACTGATTCTGTGTCGACAAAACATGATCTCCTGCTGTTTTATGTAAGGGACAAAGCTAATAACAAAAGGAACTTTAATCATTACTTTCCGTTAATTGATTCGAATGTTGTTTAAGTAAATTACACTATGATATCCTATATATTTCTGTTGGAAAAGGACAAGCTAACGTCTAAACATGGATTCTTATGTTTAAAAATGCTAAACATGGATCATACAATAGGATTTTTTTTTTTTTTTGCTAAGAATTATACCAAAGGATTAGTTGTTTTTTTGGGTTTAATAATGCTTTTGAGTTTTATCTTTGGAACTTGATAATGCTTTACTTGTGAAATGTATCCTTCCAAAACGAGAGGCCTACACAAATGTATGCGACAAGTTGAATGGCTTTTGAGTTTGACTGATTTGGAAACCTATGTCAGGACTCAGAAGTCAGAAGCATCCTATATATGTCTCATCATTATTCTCTATATTGGCACACACATAACACATTATATGCATCCACACACCTAGTAACACCTAGGTATATGAATATACATATGAGAGAATTGCATAAATCTGGAAGACTTACATGGAACATCATATAGATATAACAATTAGATCATATCTGGCTTTGTCAACTAAAATATATAAAAGCTGTCTTTTGACAAGTACTTCCTTCACGTTGAAACTTCCTGTGACTGATTCCAATCATTAATCATTTAAATATGTCATGAGTCATCCGATATAAGTATTATTAAGATTTTTTAAAATTCAGTGATTTGCAACCAAAACTTATAGTCTGCTGATTTGTATTAATACTGTCACCACATATGCATCAGAATAAGGTTTATTGAGTACTAAATCATCACTATTAAGAAGTTATAACAATCATATATATCTTCAAAACTAAAAAGTAGTCAATGATCACAATGCCACTGAATGTGCAACACAATACGACAATGAGTTGGTTAAACTCTCTAAACAAACTCGTGTTGATAATGCTACACTGACTTTGTCCCTCGATGGAGTTAGAAAACTGGTGTCGACTCACCACATCATAATCACATTCAAACTACATTTTATCAAAATATACTATTTCTAATATATTTTGAATAATTAATGGATATATTAGACTAACTTTGCTGCGTATGTTAATATGAAACTTTTACGAATTTATTCATCATCAAAATTCAAAAATTGAAAAATACATGGATAGACAGAGCCGGTCCTGGGTCAAGCCGGATGAAATATTCGTCTTGGACCCCCAAATTTTTTAGAAAAAGTTGCATGTACATAAGTCCCAGAAAAAAAAATTTAGGCTCCTAAATTTGATAAAAACAAAGTTTAATTGAAATCGTTAAAATATCATCTTAGATCCTCGAAATTTAGGGTCGGCCTTGTAGATAGATACATACGCTTATAAAAATTAAAAAAAAATTAGATTTTGACCCGCACAACCGTGTTATATATAAAGTTTTTTTATATCGTATCTAAGACAAAGATATTTAACAAGGGAACAGTTGTTTGTTTATAACTTATAAAAGACTTCACCTTTAGACGCACTTGGAAAAAAAAAGAAGCAAATTCGAGGGTACATTCTTCTTTTATCTCTCTCTCAAAATCATAAAAAAAGTAAATCTTTTACACATATTCTTTTGTTCTCCCATGGCTGATTGCAATCAATTGGAACATGTTCTTTTCCAATTAGTATTATTACCATTTAACTGTTCCCTGTACTTTTGTCTGTTTCCTCATCTGATCAACTCTTAATTTTATGTTCTTTTAGGAGGTGTTATTGGTTTTGGAAGTTTAGTGGAATTGAATATAACTGTAATAAGGATTCTTTTAATAGATTTGAGTGGAGTCTTCCCACGATGAGAATGATTTGAATAGAATGGTGTGAAATACATTTGGATTTCTTTGTTAAGGATTTTATTGGATTTTATATCCAAATCAACAGTAAAAAAAACTCAAAAATTATTATTATAATATCTTTTGGAAATAAATAAAACTAGTAGCTGCTGTTAAAAAAAATCCTAAGTAGTTGCATCTTTCCACATTTCTTGAGCCATTGTTTCTCTCCAGATATTAGCACTTTCTCTTTCTTGATCTTGTGTTTCCAAAATTTCTTCAACATTTTCAGAATCATCTCTTTCATTGTTGCCTTCCATATTTTCTGCGTTGGTAGCTTGTTCGGGAACTTCAATAGGAAACTCATCTGATCGACAATGCTTGCGAAGAAAATTATGTAAAGCTACACAAGCCAATACCAATTCTGCTTGTGTCTTGAAAGAAAATGGAGGAGCAGATTTAAATATTGGAAACCGTGATTTGAATATTCCAAATATTCTTTCAATCACATTTCTTAAAGAGGCATGACGACGATTGAACAATTCATGTGGAGTTTCAGGATCACAACCTTGGCCAGTAAACTCTTGAAGATGATATTTAGTACCTCGAAAAGGAGCTAAAAATCTGCGTCTGTTAGCAAATCCACAATCAGCTAGGTAAAATTTTCCTGAAATAGAATTAAAATATAACTATTAGCTCATCATTTACTAAATAAAAATATTATTTAGCATAAAAATAGTTACCATGTGGAACTTCAAATTTATTAGTTCTCTTAGTTAAAGCATCATATAATACTTTTGAATCATGAGCTGAGCCTTCCCATCCACTAAGAACATATATGAATTCCATATCAAAATTGCAAACAGCCAACACATTTTGCGATATTTGTCCTTTTCGATTGCGGTAGCTAGGAGCATCACACATAGGTACCATAGCTGGTATATGAGTACCATCAATTGCTCCCAAACAATCCTAAAATATATATGATGTATTAGTTTTCATGAATATAATAAAAAATAAAAAATAAAAAAATAAAAAAGTACATATACCTTAAAGTAAGGATAAAATCTTGTACTTTCTCTGATTTTCGTAGGTACCGTGAGTTTGGGTTTGGCCATCAAACTTGGAGCAATTGTATTTATTGCCCTTAAGACTTTGTGGAAGTTTGTGCTTGTTGCAAATTTTGATCTTTTGAAAGTATCCATGGTGTGACAATACCTTGAATTTTGGCCGACGGTGACTAGAAAAGTGGCAACCATTTCTTCAACACAGATGAATCTCGTATCTTTCAGATTTGTTGTTTCTTTAATAAGGTCACATAGCCTGAGAAACACATCTGGATACATTCGATACAACTGTCGAAAATGTTGAGGATCTTCTTGCATCACCTTGTGTATATAGTCGTATCCAACTCTTGTGATGGGGCGTCGAATTGGATACTCAATATAGCTTTTAAATTTGAAATATTGATGTGCAATCAATATTTGTGCCAATCCGGTCATTGTCACCAACAAATGCAACACTTTTGTGTCTAAATCTTCGTCTTCTATTTGTTCTCTTATAACATCAGAATCTTCATTTTCATCTCTTAACCTTATGCAAGAAAAAATGAATATATTAAAATTACGGACTAGTATGATTATCTCAAACAACTAGTGATACTAATATTATTAAAATATATGGACTAGTATTATTAAAATATATGGACTAGTATATTAATATATATTCACAAAGATAATGTTAGTGCTATCAAATATTATTTAATTCTTAGACTGCAAGGAAATTTTTTTATTATAATTAAATAAAGAAACATGCTATTATTGAAAGAAAAAACTAGAAACTAAGAAATTTAGAACAAAGCATCATTTAACGTTCCTTCGTATCCATCCCATACGTTCTTCAACAGACATGTTGATGAACACATCTTTCATCCCCCATTTGTGAAGTTCTTTCAAAGTATCATATTGAACATCTTCCTCCAAGCCAGAAATTTCTTTGATTGCTTCCCAGATATTATTCTTGTTTTTCTCCACTTCTCTCAAGTTGGCTTCTCTTTGTTGTCTTTCTTCTCTTTGTTGAATCAAACTAACAATCTGATTGCTTATCTCAATCATTTCATTAAAAGACTTCTCCATATGGCTACCATCCATGTTTGAGTTACTGGATTCTCCACCTTCGACACCTTTAGCTCTCTTTTTAGGGGGTGCCTTCTGTGATGGGCCTTTTGTGCTTCTTAGCAAAGTTGAATTGGAGAACCCTGATGCTTGAGATCCTTCTTTCTCCGCATATTCAAAAGATGTAGGATCTAATTCAAACGGCTCATCATCTTTGGCTCCAAATGTTTGTGCATCGGTATCGTCCCCTAAACCGATAGCATTTTTTCCGGTAGCTAATCCTTGCTCAAATATTAGCTGTAAGTCTTCATAATCTTCAAAAGTTTCATCTCGCATACTCTTCTTAGTTGGATGTGCCTTTAATAAATATATATACATATATATTAGTTTAAAACTTTGAAGAAATATTTTAAGCTTTAAAAAAAAAATAAGACCTTTTCGTAATCATCCCACACGTGGTTAGGAGCTGTAAACTTTTTAGATATGGGATCCCATCCAAATCCAGAACTGAATCGAGTCAGGTCTTGCATGCTCTTATATAGCTTCTTTAAACTCCTAATTTTACTTAAATAATGCTTATGAGTTTTTTGGCAACCAACTGTGGCATTCAAAACCGGTAGAATCTTTTTTTCCACAGTCATTTTGCTCATGCTCCCATTTTTGTCGCGCCACCCTTGATTAATACCGTCAACGAGAAGTCGAATCAGCACTGTTGTTTCTCGAACATTCCAGAATTCATATGCTCCTTTCGCCTTTTCTTGTTGTGAATCTTCCGTCAAATTTCTAGTCAAATGACATTATATTATGTTTATAGTTTATGAATATTCAATATATAATATTATATTATATATATATTTATAGAAATACTATTATATAACTAATTGTTTGCCTACATTAACGTGGAAGACTATTTGAGATATGGCCAAAAGATAAAAGAAATCCTCCAAAGACGTGTCAATAATATTTGAGTTAGACCAATACGTGTCCTTTTTCATACAACTAATCAAGTCAAAGCTATGATATCAAAGACGTGTCTTGAAAGAATTACGTGTCTTGAAAGCTATGAACAAACATAAAAAGTTCACATAATTTAGGAAGGAATTGCAGCATAGAAAAGAATAACTTACATGTTATCCATACTGGCGATAGGGTGATCGTATGGAACAGTCAGATACTTGCTAACAGTAAGACACCTGCAAAATATTAACAAAAGTGATGTGTAAGTCTTAAAAAACAACATATGAATATTGAATTGTTTTTGTCCAATAAGATACACAAAATACTTACTTCAGTTTCCAGAGTGATTTTTCTTTATAAGTTGCATGTTTGTTTGGGTGTGTTTTAAGCTAGTTTCTGTAAACAGTTTATATAGAGAAACTTGTTGATACCTTCGAGATAAAAAATCGACTATTTAAAAAAAAGAATTTCGTTGATATTCAGAGAATCTAGGTAACAAAGTCTGTTTACTAACGAATCAATACGTAATATATGGAGAAGATTTTTGAAAGGAACAAACATTTGGTTCCCAACGTTTAAAAGTTCAATGGTTTTTGATTTTCGTCAACAAGATGTCGTTGATTGATCTCAACAACTTGCATGATTTTTTCCCAACTGTATCCAAATAAACAACACCATATATCTTCAGCTGTTAAGATATAGTGTTGTCGTCTAAAATTTTTTGTCGTCAAAGTCTTTTATATGTATTATCTCCTATCAACACTTTATCAAGCAAAAACCATTGTATTTATGTGGATGCTCTTATTATGTACAAGGTGTATCTGCAAAAAAGTGGGCGATTGAGTATGGAATGCCAGCTGTGGAGGCTTTTAAAAAAAACCATCCCGAAACAAAAGTTTTTGTTGACAACTGCAATGTGGTTCTTAGGTAAATAGTCCACAAGAATACAACGCTTAATCTCTCTCCGCTATTGTCGCTGTTTCTTGTGCTGTGATCAGTTGTTTGAGATTTTCGACAGGGATATAATGGAAAAATGTGGAGATTAAGATGACTGTATCTCTACTGCAGAAGCTGATGAACTCGCTGCTAAACTTGATGAGGACCAAAAGCGTACTCTGCCACTGCCTGGTCAAGTGGATGTCATCAACGGAGGCCCTCCATGTCAGGTATATATTAAGTGATTGTTGCTTATACATAAGTGAAGAAGAGAGAGCTTAAACTTTGCAATTTGGCAGGGATTTTCTCGTATGAACTGGTACAGCCAAAGGCCATGGAGTAAAATTCAGTGTCAAACGATATTAACATTCTTGTCCTTTGCTGATTATTTCCGGCCAAGTTACCTTCTCCTGGAGAACGTGAGGGCCTTTGTCTCATATAGTAAAGGGCATATGTTTAGACTCACTCTGGTTTCTCTTCTCGAAATGGGTTACCAGGTAAAAAAGCTACTCTCTCTAAGCATTGCAAAATTCAGTGTATGTGCCCTGTCCAGCAAGCTTTTTCATACAACTAATGAAGTCAAAGTCATCATCAGCTGTTCAGTTTTTTTGTTTTGCTAAAATTTGGTGAACATGTTTAGTTACAAACTCCAAACATTATTTTCAGCCTCCTACAACTTAAAATTCTCTGATGGTCCATCTGAGTCAAGCAAACTTATTCAGTTGATCCTCTGCATAGTTGTACAGCTTTCGAAGAAGAATCTCTGCATTGTCTGTTCAATAACATAGAATTGTTAGTTTACTCTTACTAGCTAGTACGAACGTCTTCAAGTTACAAACCTTGCTTAAGCTTCAAGAAAGCTTGCTTTTCGACCTGGTCCTCTACTAGGTAATACTCGTAAACATAACTCTATTTCAAGACCCGTCTGCATTCCATGATCTGTGTTTAATGCTTTTCTGGTTTTTGAGTTTCACAATTCAAAGCAGACGAGGTTCCAGCGGAAGGTTTGTAGGACTGCGAGACGTAGGTGAACGTGTGGAGGAGGAGAGAAACGTCGAGTGGTTAGGGATCCGGTGAAAAGTTTGGTGTCCTTGAGGAGACGTTGGAGGCGAAGCGAGGTGGTGAGGAACGGAGGAGAAAGAACGAAGCTATGAGTACTTCAAAAGCCAAATAAAAAGTGTCGGATTTGATTTAAGCTTATTTTTTGATGAAAAGTACATCATAATCTATTAAACCTCAATTCTAATAAAATCCATTTGGAATTGAATAACAGGTGATTTCAATTCCTATGAAATATGTTTAACAAATTCTTAATCCAATAACACTGGATTTTAATTCACATTCATCAAATCCCAATTGAATAACAGTGTATTTCTTTCCAGATTTAAATTCTATCAAATTCCATTAAACTTCCAAAACCAATAACACCCACTAGATTCTCTCGGAGAGGATATATACATATATATTGTGGTTATTAACTCTTCCTTTGAAAACCCTTTTGCTCTGTTCTTTTTTTCCAGAAATCAAAATCTGTTACAAAAAAAAAAAAGTTTGGAACTTTAATCAAAAAGACAAAAGAGGTTCTTGTCTGAATTGGTTGATGATTGGGTGTTTACACAAAGACCCAACAAATGTTTTGATGAGGGTTTTGCTTTGTAAGATTCAGTTCCCTTCTTTCTTCTGCTTGTGCAAGCCTTCTACTCACATCTACTCATCAGGCTCGGTTAAATTGGAGAACACGCCTCCTCCTCAAGTGTCTTCTTCAACGGTTGTTCTTGATGACAATGATGATGATGATGATGATCATTATGTTGATGCACATGCATCAGAATGTGTTGATCATGTTGATGGTTTGTTGAATGAGGAGGAAAAGGAAGAAGCTTGTGATGTAGAGGAGAAACAAGAAGGTGAGAGCTTCAAAAGCAGTCTCAAGAAAACGGTTTTGGATTCAGGAGACTGTGTGAGAAGGGAGAAGAAGAAGGTACAATGGGTTGATTTGATGGGGAAAGAACTTGCTGAGATCCGTGAATACGAGTGTAGGTTAGTCTTTGATATAAAGTTTGAATCTTTAAATCAGTTTTCACTATGTTTGGCTTGAGAGTTAGTTTTTTATTGCTCAATTTTATTTGCAGTGAAGAAGATGATAACAGATATAATGGTGATCAAAGATGTGTTTGCGTTATTCTATGATCATCAACTAAGATCAGTTTAGTTTTGGTCGGAGATAAAGGCAATGGTGAAAGGTGAAGAAGCTTGGTCGAGATTGATCCTTGTTAGTCTTGTGGTCTTGGCTATAGAGTTCATATACATTGAGGTAGTACATATAGTAGAATCTGCGGTTATGTTCATCAGCCAATCTACATCTGCTAGCCTATGGTTATATGATGTTTATTTATATAACATGGCAGCATTTTTTTTTTGTTATGGTTTTAGGATTGTGAAAAGAATTGGTTTCTATTACAGTTGTTTCTTTGACCAGTTAGTGAATTGCTTTCTTAGTCAGACTAAAGAAGGTTTAAATGTTGAATCTCATTATATGATTTGTCCCAAGTTCCTCCGAATTTTAGCATAAGGTTTGTTATGACCATTTGATGTTAACTTAGAGACCATATTCATCTACAACTGCTCTAGTTTTATGGTCTTATAACATATAGCATCATTGGAAGAGATACAAACCTTTAAAGGGTTCCTAAGGCAGAGCCTTCCTCTTGGCTTGAGATAGATCCAAGCTTTGTAGACTCTCTAGACCTGAACCAAGAGATGCAGTGATGAAGAACGTATCAACATCTGACAGCATGCTTTTCGTAGTCTTGCTTGGAACATGGTTTGTGTGCAATAGGAACCGAGAAACAAATGGAAGGCGTGGCAGTGTAAGTAAGTCTACTCCATTGTCACTTCACACTGAATATCCAAGTTTGTTGATTTGTTGTGACATTAGAAGACCCACTAATAATCCATAACTTAATAAAAGAGGCCCATTAGCTTCGAGTTAAAAGGTAAATGTCTTATTATTATTATTATTTTTTATCACAAAATGTCTTATATCTTCAATTATACTAGACTTTGACCCGTGCGCCCGCACGGGTGTATATTCAAAGTTATATATATTTTGATATCAATGTGATTCTCAATCTATGAAAGATACATTTTATGATCGATTGGTCGTTTTAGTTTTTTGTATAAGTGTTAGTTACTTATATTTTGATTGAATATTTAACCAACGCAAGTAATATTTTATATAAGATATTTGTCATTTAATCCTTTTTATTACATGAATAATTTCCTATTGTTTTTTTGTGTATGAATAAACTTATTTAATATGTTTATGTATGTTAATTCTATTTTAAAAACAAAATGTTTCCAAATAATTCTAGATACCATTTGATTCTTGTCCAATCTGGTTTTTTTTATTAAGTTGGGTTAAGAAGTCTAAAATCTGGGTTTTCAGATTAAATATAAAAATCGGGTTTTTGAATTGGATAATTTAGATAATTTACAATATTTTGGATACGATAATTCGGGTTTATGTACTTTGCTTGATAAATAATAATTTTTAGTTATTTCATTATTTGAAAATTAAATATACTTAATATTTGTAAGTATATAATTTATATTAAAGGAATTTGGTACTCAATCGTTTCTTGATTCGGTTCCAATTCGATTTTGGTTTGATTCCAGTTCCGTTTTAGTTCTTTAATTCTAGAGATATAGAATCCGCTCAGATAATTGATAGGATCCAAACCAAGCTTCTTTTTCAATTTAGTTTGGTGTTTCGATTCCAGATAAATGTGCCTAGGGCTTTATACTATTAAGATCTGATTGTGGTTATTTTGAGAATCATTGTTTTAATCTGTCAATTAGTTGTATAGTGCTCAAATTTCTAGGTTCATTTTTCTCAAGCATCACTTATATTGTTGATGATGAACCGTGACTTTCTTAAGGGAACACGGTGTTCTCTTTTTATGTGATACTACTGCAAGTTTGCAATCCTTTTTCTCATCTGGATTTAAATCAATATACGTGTGGTTTATGACTTGGTTTAAAAGGTTTTTTAATGATATGTTTTTATTGTATCAATTAATGAAATGTGTTTGGAAACTTCCCAATATAATCTGTACGAAGTAATAACAAAATTAAAGGCTAGTTATGGGCTGTTATTAAATGAAGAGAAGGCCTTTTAATAATGTATTAAAGGAGTAGTTTTAATGTAAGTGGCATGAGTAGTAATATTTGTGGAAAAATAAAAGTTAATTCTAATTTATACTTCTGTTTTAATAGTTTAGATGTTCTCGGTAACTTTCTTGGAAAAAAATATTTACATATAAGGTTTTGACTGGACCATATAAAAGTCCCAATAATATAATATCTTGACAATTATAGGGGAACCTTAACACAATTTGACTATATTTTCAATATTTTTTTTTTGATTTCGTCACTGGTCAAATATATATTATAGATTTGTATCTATTGAAAAGAGTACCAATTTTATCTTTTTTTTTTTTTTTTTTGGGCAAAGAGTACCAATTTTATCTTGGATGTGAAATTTCATGGCAAAACTACCAAAACCAGACGGTCTAGTTTTCATTACAAAAAAAAAGGAAACACCTTAAAATGGAAGTAATAATAATTATTAAAAAGTAAATAAATAAATAAAAAAAGCAAAAAAGTGGACGACGCTCGTGGATCTATTTGAATCACTCGAAGACTGCACAAACAAAACCCTTTTTTCTCCTCTTCCCCCGAAAGAAAAACCCTTCTCCTTGCCTTGGCGGCTGCGTCCAAATCTCACCACTCTCCTCCTTCTCTTAAAATCCCTTAATCCCTAGATTCCATCTGGGTTCCTCTGATTCCCTCTAGGGTTTCTATCAAATCAAATCAAATCAAATCAAATCTAATCTCCGTTGCCGAAACCTCTTATCATGGCTACCGTTGCTCAAGCTGCTGATCGTATCCTTTCCCTTTTACGTTTCTCGATCTGTTAAATTGGATCTCGATTCGAGTTTCGCCTTCTCTCACTCTCTCAGTGTTCTGATTCGATTCTTCAGATTTAGGTTTTAGGGTTTCGAGTAATTTATGTAAAGATGTTAGCTTTTTCACTATTATTCAAAGCTCTTTTGTTTCCTTGACTCATGTTGTTTTTTTTTTTAGAATCTGCTGATATGTTGCAGAAGCTTACTTTGGATTCACAACCAAAAGGTTCAGAGATTCCTGACGCAAAGAAGGTCTGTGAAGCTGTCTTACATTTAAAGTCTCAGTTTTTTTTTTGTTAAATTAACAAAGGAGTGTTTTTTTTGTGTGTGTGTGTGTAGGCTGCTGTTTACCAGTATGGAGGAGTGGATTTACATGGTCAAGTTCCTTCCTTTGACCGCTCATTGACACCATTGCTTCCCAGTGATGCTGCTGATCCTTCTGTTTGCTACGTTCCAAATGCTTACCAGCAGCCCTTTTATTATGGTAAAAAATCATTACTTCACAAGTTTGTCACCAATGCTTATAACAAGTTTCTCTCTTTTTTTTTAGGATATGGGGCGACTGGTCAAGATTGGAGTGAGTTCGCTGGCTACAACCCTAGTCTTGAGGGTGTGGACATGAATGCTGTAAGTGTTGTGGTTAATAGGTTTAATCTATCTTTCATTCTCTTCACTTTTCGCTCTTGTTAATATTATTTTTGTATCAGGGAGTTTATGGAGAGAATGGATCTGTTATGTATCCTGGATATGGTTATGCTCCATATCCTTACTCGCCAGCAACTAGCCCTGCTCCTCAAGTTGGCGGAGATGGGCAGGTGTATGGTGCTCAGCAGTATCAGTATCCTGCCTTCTTCCCCAGTGGACCTTTTGCTACCGCTACTCAGGGAGATCTCACTGCAAACAAAGCTGGTGGTGGGAAGACTCTACCTGGAGAGAGCAAGAATGTTGTTGCATCTGGTGCTGGTATGGCTAAAGGAAGCAATGGATCAGCTCAAGCGAAACCCAATAACTTTAACACCTCAAGCAATTTCTATGGTCCGGGAAGCGGCTTTGCTACTGGTTATCAGGATCCTAGATATGGCTATGATGGGTATTATGGTACTGTGTCGTCTTACGATGCTCCTAAGTATTCAGATGTGCAGAAACCTGCTGGTAGTGGAGTTGCATCTTCATATTTGAAGGCAACTAGTGTGCCTTCATCGAGGAATCAAAACTACCGCTCAAATTCCCATTACACGGTATGGTATCTTTCAAAGTGTCTTTGTATTAACAAACGTTATTTTTTTGTTTATTGGTCTTTATTGTTTTCTCTATGCAGGGTATGCACCAGGCTGGATCAATGACTGGCTACGGTACAACTCAGGGAGTGTACAACAGGATGTATCCAAGCAAGTTATATGGTAACTATGGTAGCTCGGGGAGATCTGGTATGGGTTATGGCGCTTCTGGGTATGACTCAAGAACAAATGGAAGAGGATGGGCAAACAATACAGACAACAAATACAGAAGCTGGGGAAGGGGTAACGGTTTCTTCTATGGAAATGAAGATGGTTTGAATGAACTTAACAGGGGACCTAGAGCAAAGGGCACAAAGAACCAGAAGGGTGATTCAGAAGATAGCTTTGAGGTTAAGGAGAAGACTGGTGAATCGAATGTAACTGAGACTGTGGAGACGGAGAACACCTGCATTGTTCCTGAAAGAGAGCAGTACAACAAAGAAGATTTCCCAGTGGATTATGAGAATGCTATGTTCTTTGTCATCAAGTCCTACAGCGAAGATGATGTGCACAAGAGCATCAAATACAATGTCTGGGCTAGCACACCAAATGGAAACAAGAAGCTTGCTGCAGCATACGAGGAAGCTCAGCAGAAGCCTGGCGGCTGTCCTATCTTTCTCTTTTTCTCGGTGTGTATATATAATCCTGAAATCAAATTCACTGCTTTCTTACACTTTGTTTGATAATATTGAGCTATATTAACTCTTTTTGTCTTCCAGGTCAATGCAAGTGGACAATTTGTTGGGCTTGCTGAAATGACAGGACCAGTTGATTTCAACACGAATGTGGAGTACTGGCAGCAAGACAAGTGGACTGGTTCATTCCCTCTCAAGTGGCATATCGTGAAGGATGTTCCAAACAGTTTGCTGAAGCACATTACCCTTGAGAACAACGAGAACAAGCCCGTCACCAACAGTAGAGATACACAAGAGGTAACAAACCTGTAAAGCTTTTACATCTTTAAGTTATGTCCTCGATATTGTTTTTTCTGGTGTTGAAGTTTGTTTCCTATTATGTTATAGGTCAAGTTGGAGCAAGGTTTGAAGATTGCGAAAATCTTCAAGGAGCATACTAGCAAGACTTGCATTTTGGATGACTTTTCCTTCTACGAGGTTAGGCAAAAGACTATCTTGGAGAAGAAGGCCAAGCATCAGCAGACTCAGAAAGAGGCAAGAACAAAATAACGATTCTATTAAACTTAGTTTTACAACTTTGAGTGTTTCCTCTAACATGTAAATGAACTTAATCAACAGGTAAATGAGGAGAAGACTGCAACGGATGAGAAAAAGGAATCCTCAACTGCTGATAAGGAGTCTCCTCCAGCTGGTCAAACCACCGGTGATGCCAAGGTTGATGTGAATGGGTCAGTTGCTAAACCAGTAGGTGTGGTGGCAAATGGTTGCTAGGTTAGTCCATGTTGCTCACGGCTTGTGCATTAGAGGCAACAAGAGAGAAGAAGATATTAACATTCCCGTTTACATTTTCTCTTGATGACAACAAGTGCTGTGAGCTTTTGAAGCATGGAAGGAAGGAGCTTTAGTACCTGAGACTTGTTTTTCCTTAGAAGTTAAAATCCCAGTTTTTTTTTTTTTTTTCAATCTTCTCGTTTTCTCATTTTTCCCCTGTCTTTACAATTTTTCAGTTTTTTTTCTTCATTTTTCATTTTCTGTTGATCCTCCTACCCTGTAAAAATGCTTATAGGACCTACTAAAATGGTGGGAAGAATTAGAGAGAAGGACATAACAGCAGGGTGGGATTTGTTTTCATTTCATTTGGAATTTTAGGCAGATTTTTTGTTTTCTGTTTCGTTTTGGTTAAAACTCGAGTCTGTTTTGAGTTCTTTTTGTACCTCATGGCTTTGGCCTCTTTTCACCTTTCTTGCTTTGGAAGTTAATTGAATCATTCCTTGTTTAAAAATTGCGGTACAAGAATTTTAAGAGTTCACTTGTTATTTATTTAAATGGAGCTTTTTGTTATGGATGGCTGAGCAAAGAAAGAAACATGAAGATGATGACATCGCCAAAGAGAGAAACAAACATGAAGCAAAGAACCACAACTTCCCCTATGTTTCTTATGTGTATTTTGTTTGTTGTAAGTTATAGAAGCTTTAGGTATGTGTATTTATATGAACTAAAGGTGTGACTAACAAAGTTTAATCATAAATCAATAAATAATTAAAATGGGTCTTTCTGTTGATTTTCATTCATCTTTTACTTCAAATCGTTGATGATACAAAGTCTTTCAAGATATTATGGTTCATATTCTTGAAGGGTAAGTTATGGAGAATATTGATTAAAAAAGTTATGAAGAGTGAAATCATAATTTTATAATATGAGTTTCAAAAAACGCGTGAATGAACTCTGAAATGAACAAAAAATACAGATATGAATGAACAAGGAGACTTTGAAGAGAGAAAAACTAAAGAAGGCTAGGTCTTGATTCTTATGGTTATGTAAACCATTTAAGTGCTATTTGTTGATGTTGTAGTGCCTTTGCTTTGCTTGTAGGACCGTGAAAATCTTGACTGAAAATCAGGAAATAGAAAACATTTGAAATGATACATAAAAGGTAGAAAATGTTTACGAAATCGTTAAGTTACAGACTCTTTCTTGTTTTGGTTCAGAATTGACTCTGTTTGAGTTCCTTTAGAATCTGATACTAAGTTGTAGTAACAAAGAATGCTCCTCCTCAGACCATTTCATCGCCATTGTTTCTCCACAAACGACGACAAAGACCTCGAAAACTGCGTCAAAAACGACACTGATGCCGTCTCCTTAACCACACTCTCCTCATCTTCATCTCTCCAAAACTTCAAAACAATAAGATTCTCCTCCTCCGTCGACCTCTGAACCACAATCCTCGACGCATAGCCTCTCTCCCTCATCACCAAACAAATCTCCGAAGGGTAATTCGAAGTCAAAGTCACCAAGTAAAACCACCCTCTCTCAGAAAGCAAACGATCAACCACAGGCAAGACTCTATCAATAACACTCCTCCCATTCTCCCCACCAGCCCAAGCAGAAGCTATACCTTCAACACCAACTTCATACTCAGGCGTCGGCACGTAAGGAGGGTTCATCACCATCACATCAACCAAACCAGAAAGCCTCTCCTCTAAACAAGAAGCTATGTCCGTGCAGACAACCTCAGCAGAGACGCCATGAGCTTGTAAAGTCTCGTTTGTGACTCTTGCAGCGATTGGGTTTGTGTCTGTGGCTAAGTAATGAACGTTGGGAAGGCTTTCTTTGAGGAGAAGGATGAGTGAAGTGATGACGTATCCACTTCCGGAACCAATCTCCATACAGAGTTTAGGGTTGTGGTTTATTAAGTTGGTTTGGTCAGCGAGTAATGCGTCGACTAAAGCGAATGAATCATCACAAGGCTCGTAGACTTCACGGTGGGAGCTTACTAAGTGGATATCAGCGGTTCTTGATTTCATTTTGGACATGAAAGTCTACAATAAACCAACAAGACAGTAGTTAGAAAGGTTTTAACTTTGAGAATGTGTCTTAAAGCAAAAATCATACAAAAACTAGGAGTGAAATTGAAAGTTTGAAACTTTCGATTCTAAGATCATCTTCGTGATTAATAAACGTGAATTAAATATGAGATTAATCATGGGTTCTTCTTCCTACACAGACAGAGAGAGAGTTACTCACTGAAGTGAAAGAACAGCGAAAGGATCAAAGAGTGGAGCTTTTTGTGAAACGCCGTTTTGGGTAGTCTTTGAAAACTTCTAAGGAGGATAGATTTTTCACGAACAAGGAGGCGACGGAGACGGCAACGGCGGAGTTAATTTAAGAGAGAGTGTATGACATAAGAAAAAAAAAAGTTGAAAAACATGTCTTTTAGTTTTGATGAATTACACTTTAGCCTCGAAACTTACATAATTGTATAATTAAAGCCTCTCTTGCAACTAATCTGTTGAGTCAATAATGAGCCACAAAATGGGCCGAAGGCCCTTAAGTTGAACGATTAAGACCTATTGGGTCTTTGATTTTGATTGGATTTTTTTTTTTAATAAACCGCAAATCCGGTCGGTCCCGGGAGGAACACACTTAGTGCTATAGAGTGAACTAGTTACTACACCACCTGATCTAAGTTTGGAATACCTTCCAACTAATGTTAGGGATAAATTGATCATCTGGTTTGATCTATCATATAAACTATTTGAATCGATATTCAAGCGCAGAATGACCAAGTAACGGTAAGTAATTTACTTGTTGTTCATGTGACTGACTAATCAGATGGGAAAATGCATAAGACCCATGGCAAGCATGACTCAAAAACTAATCAAATTTAACTTATATATTACATAGATGTTAAAAGAAAAAACATATTTTAGTGCTGAGTTGGCTGGTTAACCCACAGCCTTGCCGTGACTCGAGTCATTTTTTGATTCAATCAGACCCGTATAACCTGCAAACATGGAGAGATTTGAGGATTTATATTTGAAAAGACAATATATACATTAAGAAATTTGACGATTATATTAGGGTCGTTCGCACCAGAGTTGGTTATATGTAACTGTCAATGCATGCAATGCAATATGAGTGTCGACTTTTATAATCTTGTTCTTTTCTTCTTATACTTGCATGCGAGAAAAATGATTCTTTTAACATATTGTTGAACTTAAAATTTAAATAATACAATAAACTAGACATACAGTATATGTATGCAATGAATTTTATTCACTTCTCTTTTTTCTTTTCTTTTATTACAAGGCATAACTTGGAACACTTTGACAACACTTACGCAATGAAACAAAACTTTACAGAATAATATAATAAGTAAAAAAGTTACAGGACAGGATCATGGAGTCGAGATGAAAGATCATTACATGACATAACTCAGTGATGATTAGGTGGATCGTTTCCATGATGAGCAGATCTAGAAACACTGCCTCTAAAGCCAATCTTCATTCCCTTATTCATGTGTATATTTCCAATCTCTTTTCCTACAAATAATTCGACAAACCATGCATGAAACAAATAGAGAAACAAATTTCAGCATATGTATGCATATAATCAACAATTGTATGATTTATTCATAAACCCACAACTAAGTGTTACTAGTTGGTTACCACACCTTATAGGTGTTACTAAAAAATCAATTTAATAAAAGATAAGTGATGAAAACTTACTTATCGTGAACGATGGGTTTGTTACTCTGCCCAAAGTTGGGTTTAGTGCAATAGACAAGAGCATCATCAAACCAATTAACAAACTCAACTTCCAATTCATCTCTTTTCTTCTGACAAGCTTTACGACTTTGAAGAATGCTTAATGCTGGTCATATAGAGAGAAAAAAACTCTGATGTGGTTGAGCTGTCTGTCATTTACAACGATTGATGCTTCCCATAAATAATTTCAATTAATATACTCCCTCCGTTTCATATTAAGTGTCGTTGTAGAAAATTTTTTAAGTTACAAAATAAGTATCGTTTTCGATTTTCAATGCAAAATTTATTAATTTTATTATGCAATTTGTTTTTCTATTGGTTAAAATATGGTTAGGTGTATGGGTAACTGTGTTTTTTTATAAGAAATATGTAAAATTAATTGTTTTCTTAATCCGTGTGCACAGTTGTAGAGTGACACTTATAATAAAATAGAGGGAGTATAGTTTAAATAATCATTAGGATTTTTGTTTTATCGATGAAGTTGCGTGAGCCTGTTTAATATAACGATGTCAAATTAGACTACAGGGTGTCATGTTTTATCTATATACATAAACCATCCATCACAATGATGATTGATGAAGCATGTGTTTAGTTTAAAAGAAAAGTAGGCTTATTTTTACCAAAAAAAAAAAGTAGGCTTATTTTTTTCCCGTTGAATCAACTAACACCTTTTTCTCCATTTTTGTTAGTGTTTGTTAGATACAGATTTGCATGTGGCATGACCAAAATAAATAAGTACTATAGGATTATGCAGAAAAGAAATTACACAGCTTTCAACTTGATCATAATTCATAAGTAATTAAATGGAATTTTCATCCTGCTTTCACAGTTTGACTTGAACGTTCAAATATTTGTTGAAAAATATAGAAATTACTTGTATCTCAATACTATTCCTGCCAAACGAATTCACACTTGACGAAAACATATATATATATATATATATATATTACTAATACTATATAGTCCGAGTATGAATAGTTCAATTGTAGCAAATGAAAGACACCCAGATGCGTATACATGTCCATCTTACATCCAGATACGGCAGCTCTCATGTTGTATCTCCTGTTGTTTTCACCTTGCTAACTGGATCGGTAAAAAGATTTTGGAAGAGATTTAATTAAAAAAAAGTGTGTGTTTTTACAAATTTGAGAGTTTTTTTTTCTATAAGTTTAGGGGTTTAAGCCAATATAAAAAATTTCAAAAAATTTAGAAGTTATAGAAGAATCTTACATTAGGCTTTGCCCATAACCGGCCCCTTTACAACATTAGTGACGGCCTGCGGATCCTGACTTACTAGGTTTTGCTTCTATATTCACTGGTGGATAAATTAACTTTAGTCAGTCAAGCAAATTGGAATAATATATATATGGAGTAAACTAGGATGATAAATATTTGGAACTACTTACAAAGTTTGCGGCCGATTTGGTATGGTTGAGTTGAAGTTGCATACGATGTAATCACCAAATAGATAATCAAAAACAAAGCAAACAACCACAAATTTCCCTTCATTTTCCTTCTGTCTTGACTCTTGATGTTGGTGTCGTAGGTGATATGTTTTTAGTTGTGTGTGTTTATACCAGTTACATATCACAAGGTAAGGTATATATATAACGAGCAGGTAGCGTGTGGAAAACATATAGCCTGACCTGATGAAAACTTGAAAAGTCATGGACGTAAACAAACATGTAACTAATCTTTTATTCGTGAACTTGTTATGTCATTGCCTTCCACTTACGATGACTTTCCAATAACCACACAAGAAAACTTGTTTAGTGGGGAGCTTTGTTTGTGGCCAAACAAAAATTGGCGAAATTATATATATATGATGTCTGATTTTTTGGTTCTTGATTGATTTAAATGAACATTAATACAGCTGAGAACGGGGATCAATCATGATTCCTACAACTAAAGGAAAACGAAAAAAACGTTGTGAACTGATATATCCTTAAGACTATGATACAACTCACGTTATTTGCATAAACAACAAAAAGACTAAGTCTCCAGAAATTTAACGTGACATATTTTGCTTGTACAACTCATATTTTATGCCCACATCATCAATCATGGTGTCATCAGCCGAGAATTTTCAAAATCACGAATAGAAGATATAACTACTAAAACTAAGAGCGGTCTGATCTTATTTCGTTGCCTTTTGCTGTCTAGCAACAATGGTGCGCCGGTGGTGATATACTACCTGGTGTGCCGATAAACCCAACTATATAAATTCATATTAATTATAAGTTAAACAAAGATAAAAATATAGAACAAACCATATATATACAGAAATGGTAGATTTTATTAACTATATTTAAATGGAGATTTTCGGTATGTGATACTCACCTAGTTTGCGGGTATTGTATGGCTGAGCCGAAACCATAACCATATGAGATGATAAGATCATCAAAGAGAGAAACCAAAAAGCAATGAACCACAACTTCCCCTTCATTTCATCTGTTCTTGTATATATTTGTTGTACGCTATAAAAGTTCTACGTTTACATGTACTTATATAAATCAAAGGTGTCACTAAGTTTATTCATATATCAATATACAATTGAATGGGTCTTTCTGATGATTTTCATTCATCTTTTACTTTAAATCATGATGATACAAAGTCTTTCAAGATATAATTATTTGTGATTCATAGATTTAATTTCTTGCAGGGTAAGTTATGGAGAATATTGATTTCAAAAGTTATGAAGCGTGAAATTATATTTTTTTATTATATGAGTTCAAATAACGCGTGAAATGAACATAAAATACAGATATGACTATAAAGAAGACTTTGAAGAAGGAAAACTAAAGAAGACTAGGTCTTGATAGTGAAACATAAAATACAGATACACACACGCTTATGATTGAAGATTATGTGGTTTCTGAAACAAATATTTAAATGCAATTTTGTTGTTGTTGTAGTACCTTTGCTAACGATGAAAAAAACTAGTCGGAAGGAGTCACAGGACTCATATATTTCTTATCTTCGACTTCAAAACATATATGTGAAAAAATTATTTGGATTTAACTATACCTGGAGAGGTGTGACGATTATTTCAGCGTCGGTCGCTCCAGAGTTGGTTATATGTACTTTGTCAATGCATGCAATGCAATCAGTGTCGACTTTTATAATCTTAGAGCCGGATTATCCAAAGGGCTTAGAACATATTTATTACAGGTCCCTTAAACTGAACCTTTTAGCATATAGTCCCTTTGCTTTTAATTAAAAACACTAAGGAACGTCCTTTAAATAAGAGATTTAAGGGACGTTCTTTAGCGTTTTTAGTTAAAAGCTAAGAGACCGTACGTTAAGAGACCCAATTTAAGGGACATGCAATAAACATGCTTCTAGGGGGTGGTCTAAAAAAACAAAAAACTGAGTGTTTAAGGAGACTATATAAACGTCCGATTTTCAGTGTTGTTTGACCTATTTCGCGGACCCCATGATATGTGGCAATTCGCGATTGGTCATTTCTCTATTTTTTTTAAATCTGAAAAAAATAAGAAAAAAATTAATCACCCTTTTTATACTTGCATGCGATGAAAAGTCTAACGTTAATAATTAATTTGGGTACAATCGTACAAATGCTTTTTTGGCCATTTCACAAATAAGCCTTTTAAGTAATTGTTGAACATAAATTTTAAACAATACAATAACTAGATGTATGTAAAAAAATAATTCAGTGAATTATATTTACTTCTCTTTTATTTAGTTTTACAAGACATCATCATCTGGAGCAATAACACTTTACAGAATAGGAAGAAATCAAAGTAATAGGACAGGATCATCAAGATAATTTTTTTTTACATGTCGTAACTTAGACATGCTTAGGTGGATCGTTTCCATGATGAGCAGATCTAGAGAAACTCCCTCTAAAACCAATCTTCATTCCTTTCTTGATACGTATATCTCCAATCCCTTCTCCTATTTAAATTATATAAACAAAATAGTGAAACGAATTTTTTCAGTATATGTATATATGCATATATCAACACCTGTTTCTTTTCTACATAAACACAACCATTTGTTACTAGTTTATTTACCTCACCGGCGAAAAAAAATCATTTTATAAGAGGTAAGTGATGGAAGTTCAATTCAGTTCAGAAAAGCTATGTGATGGAAACTTACTTGTCGTGTGAGATGGATAAGTTACTCTGGCCAAAGTTGGGTTTTGTGTAACAGAGAAGAGGAGCATCAAAACAATTAACAAACTCAACTTCCAGTTCATCTCTTTTCTTCTGGTAAGCTTTGCTTAATGCTGGTCATATAATATAGAGAGAAAAATTTGATGCGATGGAGCTGTCTATCATTTACAATGAATGATGCTTCAGAAAAAAAACGTCAATTTAAAGAAGATTGAATAATCATTTGGGGTTTTGTTTTCTCGATGAAGTTGCGTGAGATTGTTTAATATAACGATGTCAAATTAGACTACAGGGTGTCATGTTTAATCTATACATAAACCATCCATCACAATGATGAGGGATAGCATATGTTTAGTTTTTAAAGAAAAGAAGGGTTTGTATTTTTCCCTGAACCAACTAACACTTTTTCTCCATTTTTGTTATTTGTTTGATACAGAATTGCATGTTCCATGACCAAAATAAGTAAGTACTATAGGATTTTGCAGCAAAGAAATTACACGTCTTTGGACATGATCATAATTCGTAAGTAATTCAATGGAGTTTTCATTCTGCTTTCACAGTTTGACTTCAACGTTCAAATATTTGTCGAAAAATATAGAAATTACTTGTATCTCAATACCATTTCTGCGAAATGAATTCACATTTGACGATATATATATATATATATATTGCTAATCCTATATAGTCCGAGTATGAATAGTTCAATTGAAGCAAATGAAAGACACCCAGATGCGTATACATGTCCAGATACGGCAGCTCTCATGCTGTATCTCCCGCTGTATTCACCTTGCTAACTGGATCGGTCTTGAGATTTTGGAAGCCGTAAGAGATTTAATAAAAAAATTTGTGTGTTTTTACAAATTTGAGAGTTTTTTTTCTATAAATTTACGGGTTTAAGCCAATGTAAAAAATTTCTAAAAATTTAGAAGCTATAGGGGAATGTTACATTAGGCTTTGCCCATAACCGGCCCTTTACAACCTTAGTGACGGCCTGCAGATCCTGACTTACTAGGTTTTGCTTCTATATTCACTGGTGGATAAATTAACTTTAGTCAGAAATAAATGGAATAGAGGGAGAAAAATAGGATGATAAAGATTTGAAACTCCTTACAAAGTTTACGGATTTGGTACGGTTGTGTTGAAGCTGCATAAGATGAAATCACCAAAGAGAACCAAAAACAAAGCAACGAACCACGAATTTCTCTTCATTGTCTTCTGTCTTGATGTTGGTGTCGTAGGTGAAATTTGTGTTTATACCAATTAAATATCACAACGTAAGGTATATATAATGAGCAGGCAGCGTGTGGGAAACATATAGCCTGACACCCTGACCTGAAGAATAGTCATGGACGTAGACAAAAATGTGGTTAATCTCTTACAATTCGTGAACCTGTTATGTCATTATCCTCCACTTACGATGGACAATAACTAAACGCGACTAAGTTCCATGACAACATTGTGATACAACTCACTTTATTTACATTAGCAACGAAACAAAGACGAAGTCATCAGAAACTTAAACAACAACAAAGACAATACATCAAACGCGATTAAGTCTATGATACAACTCACATTACTTGCATAAACAACAACAAAGACGAAGTCCCCAGAGACTTATTAAAATGAATGTGACATCTTTTTCTTGTACAGTTCAATCTTGTCCACGTCCTCATTTATGGTCTCATCAACGGAAAATTTTCAAGGTAAGGATAAAAGGCAAATCAATAAAATCTTTGAGCGGTCTCTTAGTTCGTCGCCTTTTGCTATCTAGCAACATTGGCGCCCAGGCGGTGTTCTACTATGTGGTGTGGCGATCGAAGCAAGTGCTATATAAATTAATATAAATTATAAGTTAAATAAAGAGGAGAAAATATAGAACAAACCATATATATATCAAGGGTAGATTTATTAACTACTCTATCAAGATGTGAAGCTTTTTGGTTATATATGTACTCACCAAGTCTGCGAATTTTGTATGGCTGAGCTGAAACCATATAAGATGATGAGATCAGCAAAGAGAGAATCAAAAGTAAAGCAATGAACCATAACTTTTCTTTCATTTCATCTGTTTTTGTGTTGATATATTCGTTTGTTGTTGTACGCTATAGAAGTCTTACGTATATGTATATTTATATTAACCAAATATGTGACTAAGTGTAATCCTATATAGATAAATAATTATATGGGTCTTTATAAAAATATTATTATCAATATAATTATAAATTATATTTACATATAAATACTAACAGAAGTTTTTAATATGTCTTTTAAAACTATATGTCCTAAGCCGTCGATTGGGTAACTTGTTCTCTAGGCCAGGCCCTGGACAGGAGTCACAGACATGACACATGCTCGACATTTCTTCTCTTTGACTTCAACAAGTCCTTGCAGCACGTTATCAAAATTGTCATACACATTTAAAGGCTCTAAATTGTAAGTGTCTGTTTTGTACATATGGACGCAGGTTCATTCAAAGCACGTTTTTTCTTCCTCGTGAAATAACTACATCGTATAAGTCCACGCAGTGCCGACCACAGAAGCGAAAGAGTCATATATTTTTAACTCGAGAAATAGGCTGATAAAAGACAAGGTGTCGATCTTACATAAATAAAATAAAAAATTAAAACGAGGATAACTGTTGTGGCTACTTTTAAAAATCTATTCATGGAGAACCAAAAACAAGATGTATAGGGAGTCGAGAAAAGTATCAAAATATAGAGCCAGCCGGCCATTATCAGTTGGCACTTCGCATATATAGGAAAGAGGATGGAAAATATCAATAGTAATACTTACTAGACTTGTATGGTTGAGTTAAAACGACGTATGATGAAATAGCGAGAGAAGAATCAAATGGCAAGCAATCAAACATTACCTTCCCTTCATTTTTCGGGTGATACGTTCAATCAAATTGCAACTTCAGTGTTTTACCATTAGCTAAAAAATATAAAGTTTGCACGTCTCTATATACTATATATATAACATATTCGACGTATATTTCTATGTAACTGGATCCTGGGGAAGAGATAGACTATATGCACGCAGCAACACGCTTTTTGGTTCAAACGATAGTTGACTATTTTTTTTAGTTTACTTTTCTGCCAACTTTTGTAAGTTGATTAAAGGAAAGCAGCATGCATTCCCCTATGATATATTATAATAAAAAATAAAATAAAAAAGAGACAGAGAATTGATAAGGAAGTTTAAGCTTTGTCAAAATGTTAAGACAGTACCATCAATTTTTATTTTTTTCTATAATAGTTAAGTTTTTATTTAAAATTTTAGTTACAAATAAAATATATCTTATATATTAAAATAGAAGTCATGACTTGACTTCATGTGTGATTTTTTTAAAAAATGGACTATTACTAGAAAGTTATGTTACATTAACTTTCTAATATTCTTATCATTATTATATCTTATGAAAAATCATATCTATAATAACAAAGATACGCTTAACAATTTGGTTTTGGTAATTAGCTCACACCTTCCAACTTAGTCACGCAAAATATGTCAATAGATATAAGTTTAGGAATCTTCTATTATTTATAAGGAAATATGTCAATAATAGTTAAATGGATCTACAATATATTAACAAAAATCACAGATTCGTAATATGGAATATTTATATACCCTAACAAAATTTACACGTTATATATACTAGATAAATTAAATTCGATGTAAATTTTTAAAATTATATTGTTTAAAAAAGAAATTGTTTAAAAAATTCTTTTTAATAAAATTCTTTATATTATAAATTTATGAAGCTATAGGTTTAGTTTTTAGCAAAATATTCTTCGTAGTTTATATTATCTTTGCAAATTAAAATATACTAATATTTAATCAAGCTCTATTTATATTACTTTATCTAAAAATGAAATACTAATCTAATAAACAATAAAATATAGAAGAAAAAACAAACACATGTTTGAAAAACATGTATAATATAGAAGATTTGAAACAATCTATTTGATTAAAACACATATTATATAATATTATTATGTTTGAAAAACATTTACTATATATATCGTAAATATATGATTACTATAATATATACCAATTTACAAGTGAAAAAAAATGTTTATATAACTAACTATAAACAAAAACAAACATCCGCGCGGTTGCGCGGATCAAAATCTAGTTAACATTAAATTTGCGAAATACCCTGAAATGAGTATATACTGGTGATGATGCTCTAAATTTTGGAATTAAATAAATTTTCAATAAGAATTGTTTTACTCAGCTAATCTAAAATAATACTATCATATATGGTTAGTGGTTACCACTTACCATTTAAACTACCGTATACGCAAGTCAAACAAAAAATGCATTTTCCCCCGTTTGGTCTTTTCCTTAACATTAGGGTTGATACAAAACAAACCATACAATCAGGCGCGGACCCAGGCAAGGCTTCGGTGTGAGCCGTGTGGCATATGCCCATGCTAATTTTTATGCTTTCTTCAACAAAAAAAAGTCTCTATATATATATGCTTTCTTCAGTAATTAACCAAAATTTTATGTAAACGTTCCTATCCTAAATATGTTTTACACTGTGTGCCCCATATTAATTTAGTTGTTGGCTCCGCCCCTGCATACAATATAATTAAAATAAGCAAATGTACTAATTAATATGTCTTGGTTATCCATCTAGCCACCTTAACCTGCGTTTGGAGAACCTCCTCCGATGGATCCTTGACCTTGGCCCCCACGCTTCGACACACTTCCTGGTATTTAGATCTTCCTTGTCTAGTACATGAATATGAATAAATGTAAAGTGTAGGTTAGTAGATTCCCTACCTTTCTTCATTTTTTTTTGTAGTTTTATAATCAATCAAATACACATGTGCATGAACTATATCTGCTCTAGCTCTAATGAATGTATGGTGCTTAAAATCGTATATAGATTCCTTAAGTTATTTGGCTATACCGTACGTTGAACATTATGTAGTTTTTTTTTTTCTGAACTACTAACATTATGTAGTTTCTAAACAAATATTTAATGCAATTTTGTTGTTGTTATTGTTGTCGTACCTTTGCTAACTGTTAGTGTGTTAAATCCCACATTTGGTAATCTCAGAGAGATTCAAGTAATATATAATACATATGAGCCAGTTCACCTATTATCTTAAGATTTTGGGTTGAAAGCTTGTGGTTTATCACTAACGTAACGATGAAAAAACTAGTCAACAAGAGTCCCAGGAACATATTCACATTTCTTCTGTTCGACTTCAACATTAGTCCTTGTAGCACGTTATCAAAATGCTCATACACCCTTGAATGCTCTTTATTTTGAGGGTCTGATTGGTACGTATGGATATAGGTTCATTCCTAGATAATACTAAATCACGTTTTTTCTTCCTCTTGAAATAGCTATGCATATATCACTTCTATTGGCATTGTTGAATAAAATAACTTTAATTAGTAAAATAAAATGGAACGCATCTAGGGAGCCAAATAAGTGATAAGTATTTGGGACTCCTTACCAAGTTTGTGGATTTGGTATGGTCCAGTTGAAGCTGCAAAGATGAAATCACCAGATAGAGAACCAAAAACAAAGCAACCAACCACTAATTTCCCTTCATTTTCTTCTGTCTTTGTGTTGATGTCGTAGTTGAAACTTTTTAGGTGTATAATGTGTGTATATATACTAGTTATAGATTAGTGGATGACGACCGAACTAGACATCGGTGATATTTCTTTACTAAAGACAAACTATGTTCTTTCGTAGATCATACACAGGGGCGAAGCCATCATATATATTCAATGGATACACTATTAGTGATAAAATGGAAAAAGTTAAAAGAGAAGTTTGAACTTGGGTTGTTATGGGTGCACAATACAGCTTTTCCACCTGCTTTAACAGAATTATTATGCATTTTTACATTAAATTTACAACATAAATAAATTTTAGGGGTGCACAGATCTCAATAGTGTCTTAAGTGGCTTCGTCCCTGATCATACATAGAGATCGTGTAAAACTTGGATTATGCATAGCTCATTTATTAATTTCAAGACTTTTTGGAATTAGAAAAAAGTGAATATTGGTAGAGTAATATTCTAGTTTGGATTTATGTTCAACTAGTCATATTTACATTTTGGAGCATAAAAGTGATAGCATTAGAGTTCATTACCGTTAAAAAGAAGAGAGTTTCATATTGGTCGAGTACTCACGCTTTCCATTTAATATCTTTTTTGGATTTATGAAATCTCTAAAGCGTTATAAAAAGTTCATTAGCAGGTTTATGATAGCATATTGTTTCACGTATCCAAAAAGAAATAAGACATATCATTAGTATATAACGACTATAATATTGACAACTGGCTTACAATAATACTTCGTCCGTAATTCTAGATATCAGATGTCAAAGAGCACGAACATCGTTATCTAGAGATGTGTTTTTTCACGTCCAATAATTTTTCAATGTGAACAAAAGATAAGGTCATCGTACGGTATTCAGTACGGTACATATCTAAATAAACATTTTGAATGAGGACAAGTGTTTTCGCTGACTTTTTTGAATCTTTTCTTATGGAGAAACAACAACAAGAAGATAAATAGGGAGACTAGAAAAGAATCAAAACATCGAGCCATTAGTTATCTTCTTATTATTTCACTTAAACTATATACTATAAGGTTCATACAAAATTAAAATATAAAAAACATATATGACGCCTTAGACTGCATTTGGGGCTGCGGCTAGAGACGGCGGCTCCCTCCCACCCCACTGACGATCGCGTGGCGATTTACTCGGAAGTGCTACGATCTTCTTTATCTTCCGAATGTGAATCATTTCTTCTATGTTTTCTTCTTCTATAAAGTTTTAAATAAGAAAAGATGAATTGATATATAACACTAGCAATTAGCATAAATATGTAAAACTAGCATACATGTTATCAAGCTTTTTACTCTCTTTTTGTTGGTTCGTTAGTAGTAACCTAAAATATACTCAGTTGGCATTATGGCATACATAGGAAAGAGGATGAAAAGAATCAGAAGTAATACTTACTAGACTTGTATGATTGAGTTAAAACGGCGTATGATGAAATCGCCAGTGAGAGAATCATAAGAGAAATAATCAAACAAAACTTTCCCTTCATTTTTATTTTATGTTGATACGTTCAATCAAATATGCAACTTCAGGGGTTTATCATAAGCTTTAAGAGAAAAGTTTGCGCGTCTCCATATATATAAAATATTCGACGTATTTCTATGTTATTGGGGTAGATATTAGATTATATATGCACGCTTTTTGGTTCAAGCGAAAGTTGACTATTTTCAAATTTCATTATCTATTGCAAGTTGATTAAAATCAGCATGCAATCTTTCATGATTATTATAATAATTTAGGAAAAAATAGAGATTCCTTAAAGTTCTTCATTACCACCAACGGATTCATTTTCTTCAGGATCGGTTCTGAGATTTTGAGGACGGTAGATAAGTAAAGAGAGAATTTAAAAATTTAGGGACCTAAAATTTCTTTTTCACAAATTTAGTGGCTTATATCTATATAAATATTTTCAAAAATTTTGGAGATTTGAGACGAATATTTTGTTAGGTTTGGTCCAGGACTGGCCCTGGTATTCTTATTTGTTATTGTTAACATTCTTCTCTTATGAGAAGCGATCCATATTTCATTTTTCTTTTCTATAGTGGTTTCCCTTCAACCTAGGCCTACTTCAACTTAGAAGTGAAGGCTTTGTGTTAATTGTTGTTTAGACATTTTTCGAGGTGTGGACTGGATAATAAAGTCATAATTCAAACTTTAAATTTCTAACTTTTTCCTTTTGTAGTAAACTTTGTTTCGATGTTGACCAAAAAAAAGAAGTAAACTTTGTTTCGATATACTCGACTGTTACTTTGAATTTGCTGTCATTTTTAGAGTTTTTTCTGTTGTTATTTTTAGTCTAAATGATTAATTTCTAAGAAGAAAAGACAACAGAATTGATAAAAAAAAAAAATTTTCTTTTCTTGAAAAGATCTTTTCAGTACAAGATACTCTATCATCAACCAATTACTTGTTTCTATTAATTAAATTTTATTTATTTAAAATTTTAGTTACAAAATAAAAAAAATATTATAATTATAATTGTCAGATACCTTAACTGAGTATATGCTGATATTGATGCTCTAAGTTTTGAAATTATTTATTTTTTAATAAGGATTGTCTTACGCGACTTAATCTAAAATAATACTACTGGAGAATATATAGTTACCAACTCACCATTTATACAAACTTATATGCAAGTCAAACAAAAATGCAGTTTCTCCAGTTTGGATTTTCATTAACATTAACATTAGGGTTGGTGGTTTGGTGAGCCTTGGCCCCCACGCTTCGACACACTTGTGTCTGGATCTTCCCTGTCTTAATATGAATCATTTCTCTTATTTCGTCTTTAAAAAAATGTAACAAATATAGGTTAGTAAATTACCTACCCTACTTCATTTGTTTGTAGTTTTATACCTCAGAACTATAACTGCTCTCAGTTCTAATGAATTCATAGTGCTTAAAGTCATGTATAAATACCTTAATTTATTTGGCTATAGCAAACGTTTTTTTTTTAGTGAAAGCACTATCAGACGGGTTTCCCCCGAATAGCATCGTTGAAAAAGATAAAGCAACTCGAATGGTAAATATTGTAGTACTCACTGATTTTGCGAAGTTTATATGGCTGAGCTGAGATCGTCTCAAGTGAAAACAACAAAGAGAGAGCCAAAGGAGAAGTAATAATAAACCACAACTTTCTCTTTCTCTTCATTTTAATTTTTGCTTTCTGTCGTGCATTGTTTTTTTTAATCAGGTGTTATCTGAAACCTATTGAAATGTGTTAATTTTGGAAGTGTTTTAAATCTTTGTATTCTAGTTTAAAAAAAAACTAACATTCGTTTGGTGGGAAAACACAATTCTGAGAGTTTGACGGAAAAACTCAATTTTGCGGTCTAGTTAAGAATTCAGTTTTGGGGTCTTCGAAAAAACTCAATTTTACTTTTTGTCAAAAAAACCTAACTATGCAATTTTGGCAAAAAAAAATAATTTTGCCATTTTAGCCAGAATACTTGTTTTTGCGATTTTAGGAAAAAACTAGTTCTGTAAAATGTTGACAAGAAAACTCGATTTTATGATTTTGAGAAAAAAACTAAAGGTTTTGGTTTCGTTGGAAAAATTCAAATTGGTGACTTTGGTAGGAACACTAGTTTTCCTGTTTGGTGTGAATTTTTTTGCCGTTTTAATAAAAAAAATAATTTATGGATTTTGATGGAAAATTCTATTTCAAAATTTTGAAAAGAAAACTTAATTTTGAAATTTTGGTGAGAGAAATCAAATTTGTGGTTATGGCTGATAAACTCAATTTCCATGTTTGGCAGACAAACTGGCTGAAATTTTGTGATTTTACTGTTTGGATGGAAAAACCTAAATTTTACGGTTTTGATGGGAGAATTCAAATTTAACTTTACTATTTGGACGGAAAAACTTAAATTATGTCGAGAAAATTTGTTTTTGCCTAAAATTTTGAATTGTGTGGTTTTGACAGAAAAAAAAATAAATATAAAGCCAGCCTGCCATTAATCATCTTCTTAGTTATTGTTTCACTTAAATTGCATACAAAATTACAATATAAGATCATATATCACGAATTAGACTGCAATTGGGCCTGCGGCTTGAGGAGGAGAGAGCCTCCGACTCCATTGACGACTGCGTGGCGATTTACTCGGAAAGACTTTGATCTTCTTTATCTTTCGAATGTGAATCGTTTCTGATATGTTTTCTTCTTCTATAAAGTTTTAAATATGAAAAGATGAATCGATAGCATACATGTAAATTAGCAAATATATCATCAAGCTATTTACTCTTTTTTTTTTTTGTAGTTTCATTAGTACTAGTAGTAACCTAATAACCTCTTATTTTGGCATACATAAAGAGGATGAAAATAATATCAGTATTAGTGTATTACTTACTGGACTGGCATGAAATCGCCAAAGAGAGAATCAAAAGCGAAACAATCAAACACAACTTTCCCTTCATATTTCTCTCTGGTGATACGTTCAATTAATATGCAACTTCTGGGTTTTATCATACGCTATAAAACTTAAGTTTGAGTGTCTCTATATATATACATACTCGACGAATATAATTGACATAATCAATAGCTATGTTTGCGGGAAAGAGATTGGATATGTGCACGCTTTTTGGTTCAAGCGAAATTTGACTATTTTTTTTTTAATTTAATTATCTACTATCAAACTCTTGTAAGTTGATTAAAAACAGCATGCATGCAGTCTCTCGTAGTTATTATAATAAAATAAAATAATCAAAAAGAGACAAATAATTGATGAGAAATGTTTCTTTCTTGTTAAGTTTTTCAAATTGTTAAGATACTCTATCATCAACCAATTTTCTTTATTTATATTAGTTAAATTTTATGCATGCTGGTATTGATGCTCCAAATTTTCAAATTATTTATTTTTAATAAGGATGTTTTACTCGAGTTGATCTAAAATAATACTAATGAAGCATATATGGTTACCGTTTAAACAAACTTACATGCAAGTCAAACAAAAATGCCTTTTTTCCTATTTGGACTTTCCTTAACATTTGGGTTGATACATAACAAACCATACAATATAATTTAAATAAGCAATGTACGATATGTCTTGGTGGTCCGTACGTCTAGCCACCTAACCTCCTCCGATGGATTCTGAGCCTTGGCCCCCACGCTTCGACACACTTCCTGGTGTTTGGATCTTCTTTATCTTATGAATATGAATCATTTCTCTTATTTCGACTTACACAGCAAAAGGAATGTACAAAACATATAAGTTAGTAATTTCCTTATCTTACTTCGTCTATTCTTGGTAGTTTTATCATCAACCTCACTGGTTTTGGGAAGTTTATACGGCTGAGCTGAGATCATCTCAAGTGAAAACAGCAAAGAGAGAACCAAAAATGAAGCAATAAAACCACAAGTTGCCCTTCATTTTTTTGTCTTTAATTGTTTTCTTTGATTTTCTTCTGTTTCGCGTGGTATGTACGTTATATAGAAAGCTTCATACGCATGAGTATTTCTATCAAATCAAATATATACATGACTAGAAGTTTCGCTATAGGTTATTATTATATGAAGGCTTTCAATCTATATTTTATCAAATTCTCTTTGACGATCCCAAAGCTTCATAAATAAAAAGCATGGATCGTACCTTTGAACTACAAGTCTATCTTTTTTGGCTCGCCTTTTAGATACATCCACAGTTAGGAATTAGGGCTACGCATATTATTTGCTTAATTTGAATCGATTTGATATGAAAATTCCGAATATATCAGTAAATTCTGGAAACAAAGTAAATAGTAAAAATATAATATCCGTAAGAACTGAAACACACAAATATTATTTGGAAAAAAAAATTCTTACCATCCATATATTTATAGACATGTAATATTGTAATGCAATTATGTATACAAATAAAATAATTATACTATACATATTTTATAACATAATTTTGGCTCAGTTACAGACACATGTAGATCAAACATAGTGACATTACTAGAAGAGATACATGAATCATCAACCCTAACTTTCCCTTAATATCTCCTACCATTGTGCTGGTATTTTTACAGTTGGTAGAAGAACATTCACAACCGTGAGACCCATAGGAGTCTTTAACAAAAAGGATATTTCGAATTTGATAAAGATATTTCAAATTTTTAAAAAGTTGACTATTCGTGGGCTGCCACGTGGACAGTAAGGCCTGTAAATAGTGAAGAGATCAGTTCCGAAGAAAAGATTTTAAAGACTTTTTGTGGTATAAACTCATAGAAAATTGGGCTTTCCACCTTACTAAAGACTAGGCCTGGGCGTTTTGGGTATCGGTTCGGTTCGGTTCGGATATTTCGGGTAGTTCGGGAGGGAGTTAGAGGATCCATTTACTACTTGACATATTTTCGGTTCAGTTCAGTTCGGATAGTAAAACTAGGAACTAGAAAACACCTGGAAAATTTAGTTCTCATTTGGTTCCAGTTCGAGTTCGGGTAGTATGAGTAAATTATTGGTTATTTAAGATAAAATATCAAATAATTAGAACGATTTAAATACAAATTTTGGATATTTCAGATAAAATTATCCGTAGTTCGGATACTATATAATTATTTAGTTATTTTTAACTATTTTTGGATACTTTTAATAAATTTTTAAATTAAAATCATATATTTATTTATATTATATGTATATAAAATTAATATTATTATATATTTGGGTATCCGTTCGGTTCTCAGTTCGGTTATTTCGGATATATTTGAAGGTCTCGGTTCGATTTCGGATATTTCAGTTCTGTTCGTCGGTTCTGATTTTTTTTTCTGAGGCCTACTAAAGACTCTTTAAGAGTCTCCATTGTGGATGCTCCGACGTTTCTATGGATGATCCATCCTTTTTTTTTTTTTTTTTTTTTTGAACA